TGTGGAATATTAACTCATCCGTTTGAAAAATTATGAAGAAAATAAAGTTAAAAAACCATCAAATTGAAACTTTCATTGAACGTAATTATTCAATCAAATATTTCTTCAATCTTTATTTATATTTATACTTTTTTTCTTATTTAATTATATATTCTTTGGTCAAAATTTCAAATTTTTTATTTGAACTGATTATAAAATATCAATTTTACATCATTAATAAAAAATAATAAATCGCCACCTGTTATTTACTATAGAAAATTAAAATTTTGATTGAATAAGTTGTGTGGGTTTAGTATGTTTTTAGTTTTTGCGACTCATTTTTATTAATTTTTTATTCTTTATGTCAACTTTACATTATTTATTCTGTCAAATTAACATTATTTTTAAATTATCTCAAAATATTTTGTAATGATAGTAATTTGTGAACTTGGTAATCAATGAAATAAATCAACATTTAAAACCAGCTTCTTCCTTAAACGCTTCAGTGAACTCGCAGAATATATTTTTATCTCAAGTAAATAAGGATACAATTTGGAGGCAAGTCCTTTAAGGCAGCTGGTAAAAACCCTATTAGATGAAAATATTTTTTTTTAGTAAACCAAAAGCTGGTATGAAGCCAAAAACGAAACAAGTTCTTCAAAGTTCAAATCACCTAAATGCTCTCAATTTTTGTATTATCTTTTTAATTTTTGTTCCTAGATAAATTTTCAATATACCAATAAATCACGTGAATCTAAACAAAACTTTAGCTCCTGCTTCAACTCTCCTTGAATTCTCTCTGAATGCAATGGCTTACAAATTTAATAATAAAATTTCAGATTTTTCATCTCAAGCTAATAATTTTTCTTTTACTCTGAGAGTAAAGTGTGATAAGAAAGGTCGTAATTTGATTTCGTTCTGTGTGATCAAAGTCTCATTTCTTGCCGCTCTCCGCTGAAGACTTCAATAACAATTCGCGTGGGCGAAGTTTAAAATTAAATTTCAAAGGGCATTAACTGGCGGAGCGCAAAAGAGCGATGTCGAGGCGCTGGTAATAATTTCCCGGCCGCTTCTTTTGATGTACAATAATTAATATTACACAGGCCTTAATGACTTTCGAAGGCTTTTCGCTTTTTTTTTTTGCAATTTTCGCTTGCCAAAGGCGGCTCCATTATTTGGAATACATTAAAATGCCGTCGTCTCGTTGAAAGCAAGCCCATTCACAGGCCCCCGCCGGACGCCACATGCAATATTTATTAGCTCTTTTTTTCCGCCCCGTAATAAAATGGGTGCAGCGGCAAGAGAGCAGCGCCGCCCCACTTTGACCCGGACGGGCACCTTGAGGGCCCTCTCGAGCACCAGATGGAAATGCGTCCGTTAACTCAATCACGGAACCATTAGCGAGCTCTCACTCGCAAAGGAATGAAATGCTCCCTTTTATCGCATTGTCTGTGTCGGGAAAAGGAAAAGAAAAGAAGGAAAAAGGCAGATATCGGCCAAATGTAATTTTCGGTACATTATTGCAAGCGGGTGGGAAAATATTTTCGGGCTTTTCACCACCGATATTTTCGTAGTAAATTGAATATTTAAAAAGAGAGAGCGAGCGAGAAAGGCTTGAAAGCTTCGGTTCTTTTCCTCTTTTTTCCCCTCACTCGGAGTGGTGGAGGAAAGAATGAAGTCTGTACTTGAAGATTGGATTAGCAGAAAGCTTGGCAAATAGAAAAGGTCTGCTGTGTGCTCATATCATCATAATAAAAATAATAAGAGCGGCTGAAAGCTTTTAGGAAGAAAAGTATTGACTCTTTAGACACTGCCCCTGTTTCTGAGCCATTAGGGAGAAAGAGAGACCTGCCGGGGGAGAGCGTCAACAAGAAGCAGCCACCCCTTGCCAGATGGAGGTGCCATATTTGGCCTTAAAGGAGCTCTGCTAATCCAATTCTTTCGTCGAGGCTCTCGCAAATTTCGAATTTATTCATCGGGGGGAAAGGGAGCGAGCGCAACGAAGGCTTCTTGATTAAATTGAATTTAGGTGGGCACGTGCTTCGCGTGTCGCAATTCTGACCGCCAAACGCAAAACAAGTTAGTATCAGGTTAAGCACGTCTTTTTGAACAAAGACCGTAGGGGATGATAGAGACAGTTGGCAATAGACGGCGAAGATTATTAAATAAAATTTTATATTTTTAGCAAGGATGAACTAAATCGTAAAAGTGATCCGCGATCTGCGATTGCGATCACGGAAAGCAATTTTAATGCTTAAGGGGAAGCTTATGATATAGTCAAATCAGTGCATTGTTTGATTGTTGCCGATTGTTGTACTCTGGAGTCAAATTTGGACCCTTCTTAATCTGGGAGAATTTAATGCTGAATCTGGAATAAAAAAATGTCAATTTCAGGTAGTTCGATGGAAAAATTTCTTAAACAAATAATATTTTTAATTATATTTTTTTTTTTTTTTTTTTTTTGAATGAAAGAAAATATTTTATTTTTTATGCATAGAAAAGGAGACTTTTTAATTTGAAATCAACTGTAAAAACGGAACAAAGAATAGTTACAAAATTTCTTTTTACTCTTTGTGTAATTCTTTCATCGCCATAATAATCAGTGAGTTCATTATTATTTAAAAATCAATCTAATAAGGATATTATTTTACAAATTAATTTCCCGATTGAGCTGATCACTATGATTTATTTTAATCCTTCCCAGTTCCCAGGTATGACCTTTTCAAGTTGAATCCCATCTGTCAGGGAGTTTAGAGTTGGATCTGCTGTACTTACACGTGAAATTACATGACGCAAAACGAGGCCCTAAAACGAGGCAGGTGCCGTTGGAATCGTTTTGTGCCTTATCGCATGTCAGCCACACACTAGCAGCAAACTTTCCGAAATGATAATGAGCGTCGAGGTAGGCGGCTTATGATTCTCGCAAATGCTATAGAGCGGCCGGTCGTCGCGTCGTTACTGCAAAAAGTGGGCGCAAAAGGGCATTAGGCCGGAGAGTAATTACACGCCCGCGGCCCGTGAATGCATTCGCGCCATTTTTATACGCCGATGTGTCGCCCTTGCTTTATCATCCGGTCGCGGTCAAGCTGTTACATCATTACGGCCGTGTCATAAATGTCGGCCATTATGCACTACTTTTGCATACGTGTTACTCGCTTTGAGCTTTTCACTTATGTTCTGACTCGAATTAAAAAAAAAATCTCCAGTTAGTGCGTGTTCAGCCGGGTTTGTATAACGAAATGGATTTTGCAATTTTAATGTTTCCACGTCTGAATATGGTTTTTCTACTATTTCAAAACTTATATTCTTGACGGTGAAAACCCAAATCTTTTAATTTTTCTATTTTTTTTCTTCGTGAGCAATTTACTAATTTAATAATTTTAACAGCAACATGAATTCAGAGCCAAAAATTGAATTTCGTTGGAACACAAGCTGATTTTGATTTGGAACCTGTAATAAAAAATTATTTTTCATAAAAACCATAAAATCTTTTCAACCTTTTGTATTTTTAGATCAATATTTTCCAAAAAAAAAAAAACATGTTTAAATTAAATTTTTACTTTGGAAACAAAAATTTAATTATATCGTTTCTGAAGTTTTCACATTATTTTAGTAAACAAGCGAATGAACAAAATATAAATCGTGGCGCACCTGTTATTAAGTATGAGCAAGCACAAGTGGCGAAATAAAACACTCGCCAGTTGTCTCTGCAGCTGCGAGTCAGATTAACGGAGATAAATCTCGCTTGTTGCTAAACCTAGGAGGAAGGAGGAAACAAGAAAAGTTGCAAAGCAAGATTGATCGGGGCAAAAAAGCATCGAGCGAGCGAGCACCGTCTGGCCGAATAAAAGACAACCTGTCGCGAAACAAAGGCAAATTTCAGCCGGGCCTTTGATTTTCTGCCTGGCTGAATGGTTTTCTGATTTTCCGCCTCGCTTTTATTGAACGCCTTTAATCATCGTGTTTTGCGTCGTGTCTTTTGACGGGGTGATTTTCGTTCGGGGAAAAATTTCGATTGCACCGACGGCACTGAATGGAAAAGGGCGAGTTTATTTGAAATGCGAGCGACGCAGTTTTTGCGGCGAGAATAACACACCCAGTTTACTTCCACTCGACGTCAAATAGAAATCGGTGCGTGGGTGTGCAAATTCGCCGAATCTGCTGAGTTTACAGCTTCGATGTGTGCGCCTCGGCCGCTCGGCTAATTTGTAATGCTAAGGGACGGCTGCGGTTGCTTTTGCAAGCACCACACCTCGTATTCCGTCCAACCAGCGGTTTATCTCCACCCTTCCATCACACATACGCACTCTACGCGCTAAAACACGCGTTCATAATCCAAAAACGCTCAAAAATTTAAATTTCAAATCATTGTGAATAATTAATTTGACGTTCTTATTAATTCCGCATACAGAATGACCAACACAAATTATCAAATTGAATTACTAATCATTTTTTTTTTATTTAAGGAAATTTTTCAAATTGACAAGGAACTAAAATTAAATAAAAAATTATTTTGGCAATCCAAGAAATTTGACAAATTTTTAATTATTATTATTTTTTTACAATTTTGATCCAGGAAATTTTCTAAATTTCACAGAAAAGTTTCAATTTTTACTAAAAAAAAAATATTAACTAACTACACGTTTACAAATTTTAAATAATCTACATAGTTAATGTCCACGGAAAAGTAAAATGTTTATTCTTTTCGTTTTTCTTCTCACAAGACAAATTTGATTTTGTACAAACTGTAAAGAATAAGTGAAATAATATTTTGCACCCAGTGATTGACTGACTGAGGAATACTCTTGATTCAGGGTAACATGTTGCAGAGCATAATGGGTGCTTGGCACACATTTGAGAATTCACTTGGCAAGACCAGTGGCGCGTGGTAATTAAGGAGTCTGGAGCTGCGCTGCGAGCATATTTGCATAAAGCGCAATTTGCATATCGCCGAATTATGCTTTTGATGTCATTACGCCGCTCTCAACTCTTGACTAATCTGGTGCTCATGCTTGTTGCAGTGCGGCCGCTCTCGGTCAAAATGGTGGGCCAGAACAGGCCCCTCTCGGCGGACAACAATTACGAGCTTGAGTGCCAAAGCATCGGATCCAGGCCGGCAGCCGACATCAGCTGGTGGAAGGCCAGCGTGCCTCTTAGGGACACTCGCAAATCGGTGAGTACAGCCAAATTCCCTTCACAAAGTTAATTCCTATCCAATTTGTAACTAACATTGTAAATTATGCAACAACTCAAAACAGAAAATTTAAATTTTATCTTAACATTTGCCTGCAGTTCAGAATTGAAGCCAAATTTGCCGTTTCGAATTAATTTGTGATGAACTTGGCATAAATAAGTAATTATTCCTTGTATAATTTTAATCATAAATTTTCTTAAATTGAGAAAATAATTTGAAAAGTTTATCTTGAAAGCTTTGCACAACTTCAAACTCTTCAAAGACTTGTGCAACACAAATAACAGACAAGAATTGGTCTGGAGAAACTTTGTCCAATACTTCAGTTGATGATTTTTTGGTTCATTGAAACCGCCAACGCCCTCTAAAGAAATCATAATGATGATTTCTAAAGTACTAGATTCTCAAAAATATTTTTATTTGAATAAATAAAAAATATCACTTTTCTTTTACAATGAAATTACTTTTTAACTCTGATTAGAAAGAAAATTAAAAAAGAATCTATCGGAACCTATTAAGAAATAAATCATTAAAGTAGCAATTTTGAAGCACGTGTTTCTCGGTTCATTCGGCGAGTTGGTACACGGAGCAGAAAATATTCAATCAATCGGCCTCTCCCTAACCTGACCCAACTTTAAACCAACCGCGAAACAGCAAAAGTGGCTTTGGGAGGCGGCCAGGCATGCGAAAATGGGCAGTTTTCCACACCACGCCGTCCACTTATTGATTTCGCACGCGCCTCGTCGGCGCGAGATAAAAGTTTGCCTGGCAGAAATAATAATGATGCGCGCCTATACGAAGCACAGGGGCACGGACGAAACTTCTCAAAGATCCAATCAGGCAGAAAATTGAATTAAATCGTGCCTCCGGCCAAAGCTCCATCTCCAGCAAGGAACAGCAGTGTTGAGCAAGGAAACGCAGTTCCCTGCTACTTTCAGAAAAGGTCATTAAAATAAAAATCCTTAAAAAAAAATTTAAAATAACATCTAGCTACTGGAGAAAATTGTATTTAAGAAAAAAAAACTTCAAATATGATTTTTTTTATACAGATGCAATTGTAGTTCTGCAGTTACATTGAAAAGGATCAATGTAAATACTTTTACAAGATGGGCGTTTGCTCATCTTACTGAAAAAAAACTAACCATAATTCCCACAATACACCTCAGCGCTTGCAACTTGTATCGGCCTGTTACACGATATACATCATACGGAGGAAAATAAAAACAAGTTTTTGCTCCACTTGTGATAAAATCGGATTATGTGCAACGTGTGCACACAAATCTGTGAGATAAATTAATGTGATTATGTTAAACATTAATTTAAATTGCAAATTATTAAAAAAGTTGACAATTGAGATGAATTGAAATTCAACACGGTAAAAATTATGATGTGGTTGCATTTAAATTTTTTAAATTATAATTTTGGAAGATTAACACTAATATTGCTTAATCAAGTTATCGGCTACGATTTATAAATATTAAAAGGCACTTTTTTTTAAAGAATCAATGAGCACTCCATTTTCATGAACAGGATTAGGTTTTTCTAATTCTTGAAATTATTCCACAAAAATCATCTACATTCTGCTGCAAATTTAATGATATGAAATTAGCGGTTTATTTAAAAAAAATCTGCCAGACAAAAAAGCCTGGTATTTTTGACAAGGTGTTAAATATTTATTAAAATAAACTAAATGAAAATTATATATTTACTTTGAATACTTCTCCCCGCATATTTTTAACAAGGAGCATAGTTGTTATTTTATCTTTTTTACCCTTTTTTACTACTATTGTTATCATAACTATTATCTTAAAACTCTATTTTAAGGGATTTTGTGACATTGATGCGTTACAAGCTCTCCAAACTGTTCCTCCTATTGCAAAAGCAATGTAATTTGCTCTTAAAACTGCCATTAACATGGAGCAGACGGTAGCGTGCGCGGTGATTGAATTTCCAAAGTGCACTTCAAGCCGGGCAAATAATTATGCTAAACACTTTGGAGCAGCTCTCTCATATTGGATGCTGCGAGCACGAGGGAAAAAACGAAAAGTTTGCGCCAACTTATTCTAATGATATGGACAGACAGCGAGACGAAAAAGTAGAGAGGAAAGCAGCCGGCGCCCGCGCTTTACACCGCAAAGGCAGCGCTTATTATTCTTTTGCGAAACTTCTTCGCCATGTGAAATTGAGAAGTTTATTTTAAATAGAGGAAAAAGAAGCAGCACGGCAGAGGCAATTTTAATATTAAAATTAGATCCATGGGCATAATGGTGGCGTCGATAAGGAAAGAAAGTTGAGCCGCAGAAAAAAACCAAAAAAGGTACGTCAGAGGCACTGGATAAAAGGTGCTTCGTTCGTAATAAAAAAAATATATATATTAAACCACTCAATTCCCTGTATCGCATTTTTTTATTTTATAAATTATGCTTTGATATTTTAAGGGAAAAAGAAGAAACTTGTTTTTCTTTCATATTTTCCCAAAATTTTTATAATTAAAAATATTTCAACCATCTTTGGGGTATATTTTCTGATAACCTGTTTTTATAATTAAATCGAAAATTAATTTTCCCACCTTTTTTCCCCAATGTTATTCTAAATTCATTTTTTTATTATTATTATTCCACCGGCTAAAGAAAAAAAATCCCATCACATACATCAATGTAAATTTATATATATTTTTATGTTTGTTCAGAATTTTTTTCATCCAAACCCTTTTTAATTTTGTATCCAATATATCATCAAACATTGCGCGTTGTTTATTCAATGAAAATTTCCTGCACACTTGAAACCCACACGAAATGTATTGCCAATTCCATCTCTGGATAAAATTAACGTAGCCTTGGGCGCGCACCTAGGGTTGGTTTGAATTTCAAAAGGTCGCGACAAAAAGCACCTTGGCGGTCATTAATAACAATTTTTTGCGCGACACGCATGCATTATATTCAGCGAGCTGTGCGCGGTTGGATCGTGTCATGCCACTCTCGAATTTAGGCACAAACACACTCACTGCGCTCTGGCCGGATCAATAGACAAAGGTTGAAGCCACCATTAATCAATCCAAGCTCTCAACACTTAATTTCCGGCACTGCTGCAACGTATCACTGCGCGAGAGCTGGACGCAATTCTCTCCGAAGCGTAATCGCACTTTCGTTTAATGCTCGCCCACTTGCCTGATAATAATAAAAGCTTTATTTATCGCTGCGATTCGACAATGCCCAGGGCCTGTTTGGTCATTAAAACGTGGCTGTTTTATTGATTCCGACACGCAGCCAATCGTTGATGAGCGTGTTCTTTTTTTATTCAGAACCACTGCTTTTTAATTTTCCCTTGCAGCGTCTCATGTACTAATTTTATCCAAAATTTTAGTTTTGTGATTTTGTAAATTCCGCGCAACTAAAAATAGTCAATATTGATTTTTTTACAGCCTTTCATAACAATTTATGCAAGGCGTGACACAATTTGCAAATATTTATTGCCACTTTTGCTTGCGGCGAGCAAAGGGGGAGCCGCCGCAAATGCGGAGTTTAAATAATTAGCCATGCATCGGGTCGTTGTCGTTGGTGTCAAAAAGTAAAATATGCGCGCGTCAAGCGTCCACCTGCACGGTTTGCTGTATGATGATGAGCAGCATGCGAACACGCAACAGCACTGCCAGTCACTGACTGTTTAATTAGTGGCGCGGCCAACGGAATGTCGCGCACTACACGCCCGGCTAATTATTATTGCCGGCCGGATTACAAGTGGCGGCGGCGTGTGCACGTGCGAATTAATGCAAGCGCCAGATTACATCTTTATTTCCGGTCTAATCCCCGCCACGCGGCAGGCAATAAACTTTCTTTTAATTCCGCGCACTAAATTCTAATTACGTCACCCGGTCGCAACTGCAGTCGCTTTCGATTCCTGCTTTCGACCCTAATTCCCTCCCACACACACACACAAACTCCAGAGAAATTCGCCAGATGTATGCACTCAACTAGAAGGGCAAAAGAATACCTTGTAAGAATGTTAACTTTTTTACTTAAATTTAATACTTATTTCATTTTAAATATAAATTCTGAGTCAGATAGACTTGGATGCAAAAACAAAAAGAATTGTGGTTCTGTTTGTGGCAATTAATATTTTCATCTTGATTTAAGATACTCAAAAGTTTCATTGTATATGTAGTGATGCATTTTTTTATGCCAAAAACTTTGGTCATCGACTTTAAATTCAAGATCAATATCACTTGATGATAAAAAATCCAGTTTTGTCGATAATTGCTTGTTCTAAGGTATAAAAAGACTACCCATTAAATTCTGCATTGATAAGGCTTAAAAATCACCGCAAAAAAAAAAATGATCTGGCCAAGCCAAATATTTAATTGAACATGAACCGCACCAACTCTTCTGAAAGCTACCTCGGAGTTTTTTTTTTTTTTTTTTTACTTTGCCAAACAAAAATCCACGTCTTTTACTTTAGTTTTATCCTGCGGTAATCCCTGGCCAGATCCCTCGCCTTCGCAAGCCTTGTAATTTGTCGCCGTGATCCTGCCATTTTCAAATGTTGCTTGCCGGGGGAAAACCGAAAGGGCGTGTTGACCGCAAAGTGCAGGCCCAAACAAGACCGGCCAAACAAACATTTCTTGAACTCTTTAATTGTTTCTCCGATCAAAAGCAATTGGGGAGGAGACGCAGACTGGGTGACAAATTTCCAACTTTTATTGCTTCATTACCTCGCGGCAGCCAAGCGGAGGCGACTTGCGTTTCTTTCTTTTCCTCGTAGCTGTCTCCAAAGACTTAGATGGTTCTTTACAGCTTTGCCTCCTGCAATATTAACTTTGCTGATCCTCTCTCAGGCCGGCAACAACAACAACAACTAGAGCACACAACTCGACCTATATTGATGTCCTGTGTAGCTCTTTCGCCTTTTTGATCGGCCGAAAGAAAATTAAAACAAAGCCAAATGCGTCCTGGCTTTGTCTTTATCAGTTTTTGATTATAAAGCTATAATAAACTATTTACAAATTAAAGTTCAAACAGCTTTTTCATACAAGCATTCAAATAATCTGTAATTTTTTGTGCAAATAATTATTGAACATTTTTCAAATTTGGCATGTATAGAAGCTGTAATAAAATAAATCATAAATTTAAAAGGTAATGATTCATCATTTCAATTTTTTTATTATTATTTTTTCTATTTAACTTGTTTTTAAAAATAACAAAAAAACTCGTACTCACAATCAGTAAAGCAGAGAAATTACGAATAAACACTCTCACTAAAAATTAAAATAAAAATAGTTTCAATAATTTTATTGAAATTTCCTGGGGATTTTCAGTTGACTTGCACAATCCTTTCTAGTTCTTCCAAAAAAATTTATATTTTCTAAATTCACGCCTGTTGAGTTCGCTTTTAGATTATTTAAAATATGAAGAAGGTATCAAGTTCAATGAATGTTGGCTGAAAATGAGGAAGCTTCCAATTATGGCAACAACAAGTGTAGCTTCCTTATGCTCACTCAATTATTTTCACCACCGCACATTAACAAGCACTAATTAGCAATAACATCGCGTGTATATCCAAGGCAAACACACAAAGCGCCCTTATTTACGAAATCTGGAAGGTGGATTTCGTTGCTTTTTGGTCCAACCGAAGATTCGAGAAATTCTAATTCATTTTCACCGGCAGACGTCTATTTGCATTGGTGGCGGCGGCGTGTCCTCTTTTTCATTCAAATTTAAAGTTTTTGCTCCTCCGTTGCAGTGGTGGCGGCAAAACGCCTGCTCTGTCCGCCAGCCGCTGGAATTATGTAAATACGTTTCACCATATGGTCTTGTTTTTGGATATTATATAGATGAAATATATTCACCGCATACTGGGGCGAGCGACCACCATTATGCCCGTAGCACTCTTTTGCATTCTGTCTGCGTGCTGCATGGTGTGCGGCCGGATTTTATTCATACATGAAACTTGGTAATGACGACACACGTCCGGAATTTTATGCCGGGTGTGAGAGAGCCAAAATTTCACCCTTCCTGCTTTGGCGCCTCCGGGGAAAACCTTTAATTTAAATTTCGCCAAAAATGACGGAGGTGTTTGTGGAAGTATCACACGTTTTGCCTAAAGAATTTTTGATATATAAAAATGGAATATTTAATCCAAGAAAGGAACAATCCTGAGATTCCTGAGACATTCTTAATTGAACAAGAAAATATTTTGAATTAAAAATTAAATAGTTTGATTTACGATAAATAATCCAAAAGCTTTCATTGTAATTTTAAATACAAATTATATTAATAAATAATGTATATCTGTTTTTTTTTCTTCAAAAAGTTACTTGAGATAACTTTAAATGCAATTTCTGTCTAATTACAAGTTATTTTCGAAACCCCTGCTGTAAAGCTAAAATCAGAATTGATCAAAATTTTTGTTTTTTACTTTCTACTTAAAAATTCCCTGACTATAATTATGTAAATGAATAATGCCTCACAAAACAACCAGTTATAGTGTAAATTTGGTAAAAAAAATCAGATTCAGCTGCGCAGAGCAAAAATGAAAATAATAGATCCTTGTCTTAAATAAAGTATATTTCCTATTGACTGTTCAAAATATTAAAATTAGCAATATTTTCTTCCTCTCCAAATTAAAAAAAAAAAATTCAAACAAAAATAAAAGGTGAAGTGAAAATTATATTCTAATTCTTCTCCATATTCTTTTTCGTTGGTAAAGAAAGTTGATTAGCACGGGCAATGATAAAATGTGAGCTGTGAAAAGTACCGTCTAGACATCCGTTTCCTCTTTTTCGCGGTGGTCGCCACTGGTGCCGACGCCACCGCTTTGAAGAAAAACGCCGGTTTGTTGCGGCACAAACCATTCGGCGTATTCATCATGTAATGGCCAATAAATATTCATCGCTGGGCAGCAACTCTCTTTCTGCCTGTTTTTCATCATCATCACTCATTCCCTGTGTGCGAAAGAGTGTGTTCCATCCTTTTGATACTTTGATCCTTCACAACGCGGACAACACACACACACACACACACACACACACACCAAACCCTTTTACCGGCCCTTATTTTGTTTTCCTTTTGCCGCTTTTTGCCTCTGTGTGTTTGTGCGACGCGAGATCCGCCGCTTTTTTCTAAAACCTCTTGAGCCTTAAATTAAAGTGTCCAGCAGCCCAGGTGCTTGAATGGACCCCTGTCTGTTAATGTGGAAAAAACGGGGCACTTAACAGAATGACGAGATCCCTCGCTCTTATTTGATCTGCCGCGCGTTCAAAGGCTTGAAAGGGTGTTTTGTGCGAAAACCTTTTCATGTGTCTGATTTTAAAAATAACCCTCTCCCTCTAATTGGAAACACAATTTTACGGTCCAGGACAGTATTTCTATCAAATTAATAAATGGGAAAAGTTATGGAGACTTCAAAATTTATAATTATCAAAATTTCGCCTCTTTTTTGATAAATCACCTCATTACCTGCAAACCTCAACGTTGATTTAATCTCAAATGCCACATTTAATTTGCGGATCAAAAATTATTATTAACAAAGGCAAAATGAATACAACTTTATTGCATGTTTGGTTTATTTTATGAGAGCAGAAATTGGGTAAACTTCACTGATTTTCATTTACACTTTTATCAGCTGCCTGCTTCGTTTTGACAATTTTTCAAACATTTTTCAAGAGAAAGATATGAAATTTGAAACAACAACTTAACACACAATGGAAATTATTTATTATTTTTTTTCTATCATGCATGAGCTTGCAAATATTTGCCAATACTAGTAAAGAAGCTGCGTGTTGGTGTGAGAAATAACAGCAATAAAGATTGATCAAGGATGAACCTTTCATTATTTTATGAAATAAATTTAAAATATAAAATAAAATCATTTATTCAATTCAAACCTATATTATGCACATAAAGTAAAAAAATGTAAAATATAAAAATTGAGCTCTTCTATAAACCTGAAACTTTCACCATGCTAATCAAATTTTGATTTTCTGAAGTAGGGTCAAATTTCATTTTGCGTTAGAGGGTCGCGAAAGATTCAACATTGGCGCGCACACAAGTGGCACTTGGCCGGGCAAAAATAGTCGTGGGCATAAATAATTCAAGCTTAGCCTCTCCGGCTGTTAATTTCTCTGCGGTGGCAGGTCAAAGGGACAAATTAAACGACGGCGGCCGTAAAATTTCTGGCGTAAAAGATCGTATTATGCGAGGTCAGAGGGCCGTAAAAAGCGTTATAAACAAACGCGCCGCCTCTCCTGCTTGCTGCAACGACGAGCACACACTTGATTTTAGCACAGTGGCCAGATTATGACGACACGAGAGGGCGAAATTCGGCATTAATGGCGAGTTAGCACCGCCCTAAATGTCACAATCTTCGCATTAATTGGAGCCGTTTTTGGCTAGAGAGAGAGCAAAAACGTGCAGAGTTGGAAAAGGTTAAAAAGTGCCGGCAGAAAAATGCAATTTTTTTCAATTTTCCTGACTAGCTGCTGCTGGCAAAAAGTCTTGACGTTGTGATTGACGGTCGGCATATCAAAAACTGTCGCTCACAGGTTGCCTCCGAAGTAAAACGTCAAGTTCCCCAAAAGCGCGCGCGTTGCTCTGTATTAAAACGGTGCGCGTCCATGATGGATGAAAGAGCAGCCAGCGTTTTCATTAAATTTAACTTAAAGATCAAAGTGCACCACGTGTTGATTTTCGCATAATTTAGGCTTTGTAGAAGAAAATGAAAACAAAATCAAAAACTGCTACAGGTTGTCGAGGGAGAAATGTTAGGTTTTAGTTATATGGATCGTAGAGGCATAATTAAAAGTTAAACAAAAACTCTTGACTGATAAAATGAGAAAATCCTACAAATACTAGAATATTGAGACAGTACCAAAGGTTTAAAATTTAATCATACAAAAATATTATATATGTGAATTATCACAGGAAAAAAAATCAAATTTTAAGCATATATTTATGATTAACAGTTTCCCTTTAAATTTGCAATTATTGAGTGTAGTTTAATATTCGCCAAAGAGGTAAAAACACTTTAAGAGAACAATACAACTTAATTTAGATTTAATATTACAAGAAATTGTTTTTTTTTGTAATCTTTTTAAAATCTTATTAGATTGTTTGCTCTGAGAATTCATTCTGCAAAATGATAATTTTTTTTTTTTAATTTTCTTAAATAAAAAGTTTCTTAAATGCAAAAATTTTAGTAAGTAAGAATAATTCAATCCAAATCAATTTTTTGAAAAGTGCTTAAAAGCAAAGAGAGTATTGTTTGTTATTTTTTTTTCAGCTATTTTGAAAATTATTTTAGAATTCAAGTTAAATTTTAAAACTATAGCAAAAGTTATTTCTTACTTTTTCCAACTAACTCATTCTTTTGCTCATTTTTGAGTAATCCCGTCTGCAGGGACACGTCTCGCTGCAATCAGAGTGCGATTGTGAGTCTCACTCAAAACAGTAGAATTCCGAGGAAAAAGTGGCGTTTGAGTTGCCGGGCGGTCATTTCAGTTGCGTACGAGTTGGAGGCAGTGTGTTATCTGGCTGGTGCAGCTATCCCAAGTGTACGCCTTGTCTAATAACATTCGGCCCACGAGTAATAACTGTCGCTCCTCCAGCAGCCGGCTCTTTTTCTTTTTTTTTTCAAATCCGGCGCTCTTGTGCGTCCGGCCAGATTACGCCGCCTGACGACACATGTCGGCTGTTTTAATTGTTGCTGTTGTTTTTTTCCCTGACAAAAGTCGTTTTCATGCGAGAATCGCATTAAACTTTTTCTCTTTTTGATTACAGACGAGCTCCGACGGCAACATCACAACCAGCATTCTCACGTTCCGACCGCAACTGGAAGACGCCGGCAAAATGATCACTTGTAGAGGTTCTAATCCCGCCATCCCGGACTCCACACTCGAGGATGGATGGAAACTCGATATACACCGTGAGTAGGCTTTATTGCACACGTGGTTGTTCACCACTCACCAAAATAACTCTGCTACTTGTCCTCCCTTGCGGCAACCCTTCTTTGCTGCGCGGTCCGAACCCGTCGACCGGGGATTTGCAAAGTGATTAGATTAGGGTGCTTCCCAAAAGGTTGATGAAATTCACAATATCGCACAACTTCATGCGTTAAATTTAAACCTCAATTTTACTGCTTCAAAAGAGGGTTTCGTTAAAAAAAAATCAAATTTTATTATTTTTCATATTTGCAATTTAGCCTAGTAAAGTTTACTTTTTAATTCCTGTCTCACCAAAATAAAAATAATAATAAAAAAAATACTCCTCTTTTTTCAATAAAGAAAAGTTTGTTATTCATTTGAAATTATTTTAAATTTTATATTAAAATTGTAAAATTGTAAAAAGCAAAGTTCATTTTTGTGTTATGATTGGGAAAAATCGTACCGCCTGTATTTTTGACACTTCCTAATCATATTTTTTTTACGTTTGACTTTATTTTATTCTGTTAAAAATTTATTTTGTATAATTCAACAAAATTTCAGCTCAATTTCATCTTTTTTTTTAATTCAACTTAGAATTAATATTCAACAAATCCACAATTCCCGAAGTATGTGAGCATAAATTGAAATAAATGTCAAGATGATTAACAGCTTGAAATGAAAGAGATACGTCCGGAAAAAATGTACATATTCTTTGCCAAACCAGTCTTTTGATACTTCGAAGCAAAATATTTTTAAAAGCTGCACCGCACCCCATTTCTTTTGCTCGGTGATCGTCGATGTGTCGAACGCAGCAGTCTGACACCAAACAGCCGCGAGCGGCGCGAAATTCTCTTGTTTCAAAATCGATGGAGCGCCTGCAGCTGCGATAAGTATGCACCCCGCTCGACACATCCGCCTTTCACATTGCCTAACTTGTTCGTTCCTTCTCAAGAAAAACACAATTGATGACGCTATAAATTTATGTGCAGACGTGCCGCTCGTCACGCTGGAACTCGGCAGTAATTTGAATGCCTCGCAAATACGTGAAGGCATCGACGTCTACTTTGAATGCAACATCAAGTCCAACCCGTGGGTGTACAAAGTCACTTGGCGCCACAATGTGAGTTGCACGCAACTTTCGAGACTTCTTGTGTGAGATTAAACATTTCACTTGCAGGGCAAGCTGTTGGTGAACAACGCGAGCGGCGGCATAATTGTCAGCAACCAGAGTTTGGTGTTGCAGTCGGTGACGAGGGCGCACGCCGGCCGCTACACCTGCGTGGGCAGCAATCAAGAGGGCGACGGCGAAAGCAACCCCGTCTTCCTCGACGTCAAATGTACGTAAACTTGCAGCATTTAGAATTGCTAGAGCAACCACAAGTTTGTTTAGCGGATCCTAAATCTTGACTGCTCGAGTGCAAATGGTGCAGTTCGTTTAGAATTCAAACTTTAAATTAAAAAAGTTTGTTTCATTTATTTTTTAATCTTGATAATTTAGTACATTTTATTATAATTTTCCGTTAAAAATTAAGTTCATCTATTTTTGTTATGGGTTTTGGGTTTTGTTAGTTTCTACTATTTTTTAATTACCTTTGATTTAAAATTAAATTATTTTTATAATTTTATTAACATTTTTTTACCATTTTTGTTGTTCTTCTGACAGAAAATTCAGATAAACGTTTGATTTGATTTATTTATTGTGCTATTTTTGTAGTCGCAAAATTCTGCGAAAACATTTTCATCGTCATACGGCGAAAATTCGTGAAAGGTACCATGCGTTGGCAAGGGTCATGCGATCTTTACAAAATTTTAGGACCTGAAAGACCATGCAAGGAGGTTTACAAAAATATATAGTTTTACCCCAATATCTCAAAATTTACGGGTTTTACGGGACGTTCAAAATTGGGTTTTTGAAATTTTCAACCGGCTGTATCTCGGCTTTCCGTGATCGTACAACAAAAATCCGGGTATGGCTGAATTTCTCTCGTCACCCTCTACAACTTTGCCGTTGAACGCAAAATTGTAGGTCACAGGTCAAGGTCACTTTTGGTGACCTCATGACCTTTGGCCTCAAATTTGACAACTTGGCACAAACTTTTTTCAAATTCTGAAATAGCCATCGTGTAGAACGTTAAATTTTACATAAAAAACGTTCTTAAAAAAAGTGGTATGTATCACAGTTTTTTTATTTAAAAAATAAGTAACTCCAAAAACGTGATTTTCCGAGCTCCGGAGGCTGAAAATTAGCTTTGAACCTATGTAACTTTTTTCCTGCCAGATTTAGGACAATATGTATAATGACAAAAAGTAATCCCCTTGACTTGTTCTTTTAGACCATGTATCGCACATAGTGACCAGGTCACAAAAGGTCATTGACCCTAGTGACCTTTGACCTTACCACGATATATTTTGCAAGTGTGGCACACGGTTTGAAAGAACATAATAAGAGGAACATTTTGGTACGTAGAACTTTGTTGCAGCTATACTAGGAGCAGAGTTATTGCAGTTTAAATAAAAATTATTCTTAAAATTTTCATAATTTGCCACGAAAAAATGCGATAACTCTGCTCCTAGTATAGCTGCAACAAAGTTCTACGTACCAAAATGTTCCTCTTATTATGCTCTTTCAAACCGTGTGCCACACTTGCAAAATATATCGTGGTAAGGTCAAAGGTCACTAGGGTCAATGACCTTTTGTGACCTGGTCACTATGTGCGATACATGGTCTAAAAGAACAAGTCAAGGGGATTACTTTTTGTCATTATACATATTGTCCTAAATCTGGCAGGAAAAAAGTTACATAGGTTCAAAGCTAATTTTCAGCCTCCGGAGCTCGGAAAACCACGTTTTTGGAGTTACTTATTTTTTAAATAAAAAAACTGTGATACATACCACTTTTTTTAAGAACGTTTTTTATGTAAAATTTAACGTTCTACACGATGGCTATTTCAGAATTTGAAAAAAGTTTGTGCCAAGTTGTCAAATTTGAGGCCAAAGGTCATGAGGTCACCAAAAGTGACCTTGACCTGTGACCTACAATTTTGCGTTCAACGGCAAAGTTGTAGAGGGTGACGAGAGAAATTCAGCCATACCCGGATTTTTGTTGTACGATCACGGAAAGCCGAGATACAGCCGTTTGAAAATTTCAAAAACCCAATTTTGAACGTCCCGTAAAACCCGTAAATTTTGAGATATTGGGGTAAAACTATATATTTTTGTAAACCTCCTTGCATGGTCTTTCAGGTCCTAAAATTTTGTAAAGATCGCATGACCCTTGCCAACGCATGGTACCTTTCACGAATTTTCGCCGCATAATAGGATCCATGTTTTCTGCCCTTCAAAGGCTTGATGCCAATTTGAAGTTGAATGGAATTTGATCGGTTTCGCTTTTGCAAACTTCAAAACAATTTCGTGGGCTTCTGAACGCGCGTGGTTTTACAGAAATGTCGGGGCTTCGCTGTGCCAAGAAATTCCTCACAAAGTTTTCACAAACCAATATAGCAGCTTCAGCAAATTGGCAAGTTTTTTCCTCTCTTTTGAAAGTAGATATTTATTGCGCCGTTTTTGCCGCGGTCAGCTAATCAAACAGGCTAAATACTGCTGCTGCGGGATAGATGACGGTCGCGTGACACTGACAGATAATTTACACTGCTCACCAGAGCGCCGAATAAATAACTCGTCACGCAGCGTGTCCGCCACAAAGTGCAGTTTAATCACATTTTGAGTGACGCCCTCAGATATCCCGCGAGAGAAACGCAAAGCCAGTGTGACAAATGCGCGCAATTTCTCGCGCGCCAAATAAAAGCTTTTCGTGATACGTAACCTGGAATTAATTTCGCCACTTTTTCATATTCCTTTTGACAGACATCCCTGTTTGCAAGAGCAACCAGCCCGACCTGTTCGGCGTCGCGCGACAGGAGAGCTCCAAAATCACGTGCAACCTGGACGCAAACCCGACGGACATCCAGTTTATCTGGAAATTCAACAACACGTCTGAGACGCTGGACATCCCCATGGCGCACATGGCCGTCGACAGGGCCAAGAGTGTGGCCACGTACACCCCTATGAACGAGCTTGACTACGGCACTCTGCTGTGCTGGGGCCGCAACGAGCTCGGAATGCAGAAACATCCGTGCGTTTTCCACATCATTCCGGCAGGTGAGGAATTTTACAAATTATTTTGTTAAAAAAATCGTCAATTAAAGTAGAATAAAGTAGATAGGGACCGCATTGAAACCAGAAGTTCCTAGGTTCCACTGTTCGCATCAAATTTTAATAATAAAGAAATTAAGCTTCCTTGGTTTTTGTTGTTGGCCTTGATTAATAAGGTAAAAATGAATAATTTTTGTAGATATTGAAGATTAAAATACCATTTTCTAGAAAAAAATGTCAAAATGTGTTACTAAATTTATTCTTTTATTTATTTATTTATTTATTTATTTATTCTCCATTCAGATACATGAAATACACAACATCTTACATCAAGTCTGCATTTGCTTTAAAAAGGTCTGAAATGTTTTCAATAGATATGGTCTTGGAGTAATAATTATTCTAAAAAGTTTCCAAATTCATCTTTAGCCAGTAATAAGCTTTGGAGATTAAGTATTCTATCAATTTTTGTCCTACAATAATTTACAATGAAGCGTTTATTTTGAATTCTTATGCTACGATTAGAGAGTTAATTAATTTAGAATTTCTTTTTGTTTTGGAACTCGCTAATCTATAATGTATTTAAAAATTTTGTTTTATCATCCTACGCTTGGTAGTTTTTTTCGCCCATTTATCAGAATGTGAATTTTTCGACACGAGTTTCTGTATAAAAAAAAGAGTTTCTATCTGCTTTAAATTGATTTATTGGATACAAAAACGAAAGTAACATTTTCCGCGTTGATTTGAGGAAAGTATTCGCGGAAGAGTTATTTTTTCACAAATATCTGAATGTAATTTTAACTTTAACTGACTGAGTGCACCCCCTCATGTGGAAATTCAATTACCATTGGAATGGAAAAAATCCTCTTTCACAATAACACGTCATTCCAATTGGCTCACTCGTTGAAAAACCAGGAGGAAAAATAACGTGCAAATATTATTATCGATTGAAATCTGTACATGAGCTATTAATTCCACCAGCAAGCAAATAAATTATCTGCAACCCAAAAAATAATTTAATGAATTTATTCAGGTAAACCGGACGCGGTGCACAACTGCAGCATCATCAACCAGACCGCCGATTCGTTGCACGTCGAGTGCGCCGAGGGCTTCAACGGCGGCCTTCCACAGACTTTCATGATGGAAGTGTACGACGCCGTTACATTCGCTCTTGTTTCAAAGATCACAAGCAACACTCCCACGTTCACGGCCAGCGGTTTGGATCCAGGCTTGAATTACCAAATTGAGCTCTCGGCCAGCAATGACAAAGGACGCAGCTCCAAAGCCACTCTTCATGCATACACCCTTAAAGCTGCTGAGAAAAGGACTGGTAAGAAAGTTTATATGATTTTATAAGATTTGCAAATTTGATGATTTTGTTGCGAAGTCATTGAATATTTTTATCCATTTTTGAAATTTAGAATGCTTTTAGCAGTTTGGCGTGTTGTAATTTTTTTGAAAATAGGTAAAAATTGTTATTAATGGTGAAAAATAAGCAATTTTCTAAAGAAGTTTGCTTTTAGTTGCTCAAAAAAACCAATAAGACATTAGCAATAAATTATATAAAATAAAATGCTTTTGAAGAAAAATTAATTTTTAGAATTTTCTTTTGTTCTTTTTATCTTCAACTTATTATTCAAAAACAAATAAATTTGTGTTTTAATCGGATCAAAATATAAATTGTTATGTACTAAAATTCATTTTTAATATCAAATTTGACTGCCTTTTTTTCAAAATGTTGTATAAAGTAGAAAAATTTCCTGTTGAAAAAAAAAACATAAAAATTCCAGAATGCAACACTGGTGCTGGCTGTGTGGCCGCCGCGACCTCTCCGGCCGCCATTCTGCAAATGACCCCGATTTTGGGCGTCCTGATTGGTGTGGTGTCCGCCCTGTTTCTGGTGGCCGTGATCATAGTGGTGGTCATGCGACTCCGAGGTCACGACGACGAGGACGAGCTGGAGAAAGAGATGGAGGAGCGCATCGGGGGCACTGGGGGCGGCGGGGGCAGGCAGGCGCCCAACACTATGTCCCGCGGCGTGGGCGGCCCGGTGCCCAGCGACAAGAGCAGCCTCGGCAAGGACACTGACCTCGACTCAACCGACGAGAAAAATCCAGACATCATTCCTCACAGCACAGGTACGTTTTTACAGCTAAGCAAATTTAATATTCATACGGATCTAAAAAAAAGAGGGAGAAAAAGAAAGAAAGTTGGCACAAGTTTGTGCATAAAAACGCTGAGCAAACGACTTTATTTCCCCGAGCAGGTTGCAAATTGCATATTGATTCATTTGCTGATTCTAGATTCTGAGTACCTTGACCCGGACGAAAAAGCCTTCGAGGTGCTCAACAACGCTCCCCCTCGCATGTATGACACTCTGCCTCACCATCTGCACATCAGAAACAACCAAATGGAGCCGGCTTCCTCTTACGAGACTGTCAACATGAATAATACAATGAACACAACTCTGCCCGTGAGTTCAAACACTCGCAGAATTTCTCACACTTTTGCATTTACATATTTATCTTTTTTTCATATAAATATTATATAATTTATTTCTTTCTTTCAATTAATATTTAAGAGTTTTGAATAATAACTAATTAATATGCAGCTAATTTTAATCACTAAATATTTTAATTTAATATCCAAAATTGAAAAAAAAAAATAGAAAGGAACAGCTATAAAAAAGGACGTAAGCATTTAAGATCAATTTTTATGGTAAAAAATAAATTAATTTTTTTATTAATCTGGAATTTTTCAATTTATTTAATTTTCTTATTAAAAACTTTATTTTCTACGGGGAGGTTATTACATGCATTTTACGTTCCTCTCGCAAGAACCTACCGTTTTTAATTTACCAACATTCTTTTTATCTTTCCTAATTATTATTTCCTGCAATCTTGAAAATTGAACAAATTGTGAAAAATATTCCATTTTTTTCTCTTCTTTTCTGCTTTACACCGCTTTATAGTTAGTTTTCTTTCCCGCGCCCACTTATTCAGCATTTATTTATTCATTTATTCTTCATTCAATACAAATTTGCTCGGTGATCAATTTCAAAATTACAAAATGTAGAACATTAAAAAATATAACAATTTTTATTATCCTCTAATTCTAGATTAATTCCAATTTTAGGGAGAGGAGATCACGTATGCTGAGTTGGCGGTTCCAAAGCAGCACGGCCCCGTCATGATGTACCCGTCGCACACCCTGGGCCGGCGCCCGCACCACCAGCCACAGCACGAGCCCACCGTTTACGCTCAAATCATGGACCTGAGCGGCAAAATCCCGCCCGGCCACCTCGGCCTGCACCACACCCTGGGCCGCCGGCCGATCCATGTGGCGCCCACGCCGCCTCTCAGGGTAAGCAGCAACCGGGCGGACGACCGGGAAGAGCTCCTGGCAGGAGTAGACACCCCTCTGATTGCAGGCACCCTGCCAAGGGAGAGCACGGTATAGCCCTAACCAGTTGGCACCCTCGATTTGACACAAATCGGACGCATCGTGCTGCATTTTGCTGTGAACCCTTCCGATAAAAAACAAACTGCTGATTTGCATCTTGAATTAGTGCTAGAAAAATTGTGCATGTTTTGTTTTCCCATTTCCATATTTTACTTCAAATAATTTAAAAATCGATGTTTTTAGTTAAGATCTTTTGTTTTATATCCTTTCTAGTCAATTATTGTATTCATCTTTGTTACAGTACAGATACATAATTATTGTATTTTGAGTTGTGTGTGAAATTTTTAAAAACTTTGTGAGCCAAAATATATGCTGCATGATATATCCCTTTAGACCCATCAATCAATGCATTTTCTGGCATGCAAAAACCGTGACAAAATGTGCGCCCACCGTAGTAATTTATAATTTTCAAGCATTATATAAAAATTTCAGTTTTAATTATTACCATAAATTATTTATTGAACACAAGCCTGCCCTTATTATATACATTGTATCCATGATTCAGTTGTATTTTACTGACCAGAGCCTGCTATGTTTGCTATTCATGAATGTATTGCTAACTATAAAAGCCAGTATTTGCAATTTTATTTTATTCTGATTAACCTTCGATGAATCAATCAGGACGGAACTGCCGGCCCTTCAACCTCCGGCTCCAGCCAGCCCCGCGTGGTGACCACCACAAGATTCTGACCTCCCCCGCCCCCGCCTGAGTTCGCCTATGAGGAGCCTGAGGAGTAAAAGTGTAACACTCGAAAGGGAAGGTGACAGGCCTCTGACTGCCTTACCCCCGTTTTAAGCATTTAAGCAAGAGGATTATTGATTTGGAGAGAGCAAAATTATACGTCGTGGAACTAAGTGTGCGCCTAAATTGATCAATATTGATATGATACGAACATTCCTCCCTTTAATAAATGTGATCAAGATTTTTTTACATTAATTGTAATATATTATTAAACTCTAATATAGCGCTCTAAAAACTATCAGTGTACATTCCATAACTTCATTGTGTAAAAATCCAAAAACAGACTAACAAAAGAGGAAATGCCAGGGTGACGCATGAAATTTTATAAGCAAAAAAATATATGCCCCTGATTTGTGAATGGACGTGTTGGATTGGTTCATGTGACTCAAACCTTAACCAAGATTGTTGTTGATAAAAAGTTTAATAAAAAGAATAATCAAACCACTTGTATAATAATTAAAAAGCGACGATGAATCTTAATTGTATTAAATTTGTAAATGTTATTCTTAAAATTCATTACTAAAAAATAAAAATGATGAAAAAGTTGAAGAATCAGCTGTCTGACAAATGATTATTTGTATGTTAATTAGCTCATTTCGATTTGAAATTTATTATTGAATTTTAATAAAAAAATTCTGAAAAATGATCATTTTTTTCTCTCTCTTAATCTACCACAAGATGAATAAAAATCTGTGATTGTAAAAAAACATTTATTATTTTTATTCACATACTAACTACAAACTTTAAAAATTCAGCTTCCATGATCAGAATTCTTTTTCACAAAATACATACTTGATGAGAGTGGCAATAAAATTAGACATTGTTAACAAAAACAAACCAATTATTGTGGTGGTGAGGATAAAATTTCAAAGCTAAACCTTTAACATATTCATGCAAAATGGACCGATTTTTGAAATATCTTTAGCTTGGCTTGTGATACTTCCTCTTGTGTTGGTCAAGCGCAATTTGGGAAAAGAATTTCAGTCCCTTATCACAAAGGTCGCAGGTCAGCAGGGACTTTTTGGCTGGCTGACTCGACTGATTGCTTTCCTTTGGCTTCTCCTCCTTCGCAGCCTCGTGGGATGTTTTGTGATCCTGAAGTTGGTCACTATTGGGGAACGATTTGCCACATAGTTGGCATGAAAACGTTGCTGGTGGGGCTGAAGACTCGGCAGGTTGATTTTCTGCAGGATTTGGTGCCGAGTGAGAGCTCATGTGTTTCTGCAAAGCTATGGAGAGTTTGAATTTTTTACCACAAATACTGCACTCGTTTTCATTCTCATTCGAGCGGCTTTCTGGAACAATTTCCTTTTCAACAGATTTTTCCTCAGACGGCTCAGTCTTAATATCTGGCTTTGGGTGTTTCAACAACACATGCTTTTGCAAAGCAATTTGCAGTGGTAACAACTTGCCGCAAATTTCGCACTTGTACTTGTTGACTACCAACTTCTTTTCTTCCTTAGGAGGAGTTCCAGCAACATCAAGCTTTGGAGTTTCAACAACTTCTAATTTCGGAGTTTCAGGTTTTGCCTCCAGCAGTTCGTCTTTGTGTTTCTGCTTGATGTGCGTCTTGAGGTAGGCGCGACATTTGTACAACAAGGAGCAGAACTTGCAGACAAACTGAATCTCCACGCTGGACAACAGAGTCAGGTTGTGGTCCATCTCGAGGTGGTGCTTGACATCTTCGATGGACTGAAATTCAAACTCATTGTCCGACTTGTAGCACAAATTGCAGAGGAAGTGGGTGCGTCTGAGAAGGTAGTACTGCTGCATGCTCAAATTCTGAGTCGCTCGGAAGGGTTTGCACAGTTTTTTGCGGTGGATCCGCAGCTGCCGTTTCGTCATGAACCTTCGACTGCAGGTCTCGCAGGCCACCATCTGCTGGCGCCTCTTCATCCGAACGTAAATTTTATCCCTGGGCGGCATTCTAGGCAAATTGGGCTTGACCGCTTCATTCAATATTTTCTCCGGCTCTTCCTTCTTCATCGAAGAAGGTTCCTTGGCCTTTTCCTCCTTGGTGGCCAAATTCCTGCACTTGCTGTTGTGCTCCTTCCGCAAGTGCTTCACAATTCCTGAATAGGAATAGAAGTACCGATCGGGGCAGTGTTTGCAAACGTACTTCCCATCTTGCAATTTCCTGTAGTGCTGGACAAATGTGAAGACAGAAGGAGACCTTTCGTGTGGCTCCGAAGTCGAAGTTTGCTCGCAGATGTGAGATTCGAGTCTTGCTTTGTAGACAAAGAACCGCTTGCACTTTGGGCACTGGAAATGCTTGTTCGGAACGTTGTACTGCTTTTTGTGGATCATGGTGATGTGGCAAGCCATGCCCTTGGCGCTTGGGAAGGACTTCATGCACAGCTTGCAGTAAAAACGTTTGTTCCTCTCTGAGTGTAGCTTTTGGCTCTTTTGACTTCTTACTACATCCCCTGCTTTCTTCACCACAATCTTTTTCCCCTTGTGTTTCTGCTCAACGTGCAGTTTCAGTTTGAACCTGGATGAAAGTTTGACTTTGCAAAGTTTGCAGCTGAAGGTCGTGGTGACCTTGGTGGATTGTTTTGTGACCTCGGGTTTTTTCGATTCGGCCGCAGTCCGTTTTTTGGCCGCCTCGTTGGCCACGACACCCGTCACGTGAGTGGCGTGAGGGTTAGTGTTGAAGTGGCAGTTGAAAATGTGCATCCTCAAGTCCGAGCCCTGCAGCAGTTGGCTGCAGATGACACAAGGAACTTCTCCTCTTTCGTTGGTGTAGAAGTGGTACTCCATGATGTGTTCGATGAGGATGTGCTCAGACTGGAATTCTTGGTTGCAGTCTGGGCAGGCAAGGTTCAGCGCAGGCTTGAAGAAGTTCTGGTGTGAACGTAAATGCTGGACGAGGAGATCATTGGAAGGAAATTCTTTGCTGCAGATCGGGCATGAGTACGATGATGCTGATGGTGTGGGATTATTAGGCAGTGTTGGTGGAGGCATCAGTTCAGTCGGTTTGCTCTCAACTTTAAACTCATCTTTCTGCAAAATTTAAACAACACATTAAAGCATTTAACAATTTATGAGAAACAAATTTCCAAGTAAATTTGGCATCAATTATTTTACAGCCGCAGAAACAAAACAGAAAAGTTCCTGGCCAATTCAAACTCGTCAAAAATTTCCAATTTTTTTTTTTTTTTTTTTTTAATATGTAATATTAAACAGATCAATTGAAAAATGTTTCTTACGATCAAATTTTCCATCTTTTGCTCAGCTAAAATAGGAAGAATTGGAAAGAGCATTCCAGTCTCATCTTTCATCTTGACAAAAGCCAATCGCTGAGGCTCAATCGGCGGCTGGTAAAAGAAATTGTCATGCCATGTAGACTCCTCCGTACTGTCATCGTAGACTGGAGGCTCCTCCTTAATTCTCGCTGGATTCCACTCGGCCTCAGGTTCTTCCTTAAAATCTTGACGAGGGTACTCGTCAAACCACTGCTCGTCTTTCAAAGCACAAACTTCTAAAATTTTAATGTCACTCTCTGCGCTCTCGTAAAAAGAGTCCTTGGCAAAGTCTCTGATGGGGTATCCGGCAGTGTTTAGACAGTCTTCATATCCAAGACTAGAACTATCAACTTGACAAAACTCGTCCTCCATTTGCTTTTGCTTGCTTGGAAGAGTCGGACTCCTGGATAAAGGGAAAACATAATAAAAACTGTTTTGATGTCTTCAAATTCAAAAGTACTTTGCATATGAGTGATCATGCTGTGTGTTTTGAGTATCATCTTCAAGTTCCTCAGTTTGAGTTTGTTGATCACAAGACCTGTGAACACTGCTCTCATTCTGAAATTTTCAAATACTGTAATAAATTGTAAGGCAATTTTACAAAAAAAAAACAAACCTGACACGAATCCGGCTCAACATTTTTTCGGCTGAGGTTTTCTGACGCCTCTTTAGAGAATTCATCCCAGTGTCTTAAAACCTGGCCGCAGGATTCACAAATGCACACATCCCCTTCAAACTGAATTAAAATTTGTTATTAATGTTCTAGATTTATTATTAAATTTAAATGTATTTGTTTAACAATTTAACAATTGTTTATCTTCTTACATTCGGGGTGATGTGCTTGGTGATCAACAGTTGAAAGTAATCAGTTCTAAAGATTTCTCCATTCCTTTTACAGCAGAGTTGACATTTATTGTCCATCTGAAATTAATTTAAAATTAAGCACATATTCGCAAAAAAGCACACGAAGCAAAAAGAATAAAAGAAGGAGTGACAGACGAACCTCTCTGTCGTGGACTGCCAAATCTACATGATTCAAATCATGAAAATCTTGGAAAAAATGTTACGTAGAAATCGTCGAAATTAATCAGTGCTTTTCATAACAAAAATTACAGACCGTCAGTCTCTCATAAATCAGCCGTATAGACTCATTTCGGGCCGAAATTCGGTCAAGTTGAGATGAAAGATGAAAACAATAGGAGGGTGAGTGATTTGTTTTGGAAAGTTTGCTGATTCGAGATTTGCTCGTCAGATGGCCCTGGGCGCCAGCTGGATTTTGTTGGGCGGTGTTGCCGGATCGGCGAGGAAAAGTTTGACTCGCGACTGCAGTGGATGACGCCGGGACTGCGGTGCGGTGGTTTTCCTGGCTGCAGTCTTTTTTCCCAAGTCCTTGGGCGTCACTCCCCTCGTGGCAACATCGCCATTCTTGACCTACATGAACAAGAAAGCAAGCAAGTTAGTCAATTGCGAGTACCGAGCGTAATGTTTGTTGCACCTCGAGTAATTAGTGAGGTGTTTTCGTGAGCACCCGAGGCCCAATCTGCGACGGCCAAGTCTCGGACGACCAGCGAGTGCTGTTAGGGCGCGAGCAGATGCGGCTGCGGCCCCTACTACGCAGCAGCGCGTGCATTGCCGTGCATCTTCTGCCCCTGCAACACGTTCGATAACAAGTGCTGACCCTGCACAATGTCGTAATAATTGCGAGAATCCCGGCTAGCGAGCGTGTCCGAGCTACAGACTGGTCCTCGTCCACGATCTTGATGTCCAGGCCACCGCTTTCTAATGCCTGTGATGTCTGCAAGCGGCGATGACAATCCAATCGTGTTTCTCGACGTCGTGATCAACGAGGATAAAGGTTGGTTGGCGTTTTTCCCGATTTCCCGAGCCCAATCCATCGTCCGACACTGACCTTGGTGCTTTTTCAGTCGGACGCATCGTGATCGAGCTGTTCAAGCACCAGACTCCGGTCACGGCGGAGAACTTTCGGTGCCTTTGCACCGGAGAGAAAGGCGTCGGCAATCAAGGGCACCCGTTGCATCTCAAGGGTACCATCTTCCACAAAGGTTGCACTCACCGTTTTTTGCTCCGGTCATCCGACACTGACTAATCGTTTTGCATTCCAGCCATAATCGAATACATAGTACAAGGAGGTGATATAGTTAACTTCGACGGCACTGGTGGCGAGAGCATCTACGGACTAAACTTCAAAGACGAAAACTTTTTTGCCAAGGTTTGTCCCATTCCAGTGCGAAAATTGTAAATGCATCCCTAATAATGTCCTCGATTTGCAGCATGACCAGCCCGGATTGCTCAGCATGGCCAACTCAGGACCCAACACAAACAGTTCCCAGTTTTTCATCACTCTTGATACCTGCCCGAACCTGGACGGATCACACGTTGTGTTTGGAAAGGTTTTGAAAGGGCTCGGCGTTGTGAGAGAAATTTCCGAGGTTCCCACAGATGACGATGTTCCCCAAATGGTATCCATTTAATCAGATTTGCCATGTTCTGTTTTTTAATGATTTTAAAATTTTAGAGATGCTGTGTAGCGAATTGTGGAGAGATTCCGAAAGGTCAAGACTGGGGAATTAACGAAAACGACGGGACTGAAGACGTTTTCGCCCCATGGCCTCAGGACCTTGATGTCAAAGCTAGAGAGGTATTTTTGTCACTGAATAATTGAGGTTTTGAGGTTGAATAATCAAACTTTGTGCAGCATTTAAGCGACGATGAAATCGTGGCCAAGATAAAGAACTCGGGAAACTATTATTTTAGTAGACATCAGTATAGCTTAGCAGATAGGAAATACAAGAAAGCATTGCGTTACTTAGATTAGTAAGTATTTATTTAAATAATCTGGAGATTTGTTTATTAATTCTCATTTGATTGTTGCAGCTATTCAAAGTTGACCAATAAACCAAATAATGAGACTGATTCCGACATGCGAACAACATGTCGACTTAATTTAGCAGCGTGTAAATTGAAAACCAAACATTACAAGGAGGCTTACTCAATATGCGAGCAGGTATTTTGAACTTTTAATTATTATTTTTTCTCTTACCGCTACATATATTAAGTTAAAAAGTTAATAATCGTCGTTATTATTCAGTTCGTAAATATTCAAAATATTTATAAAATTCATATTTCATTCATAATTTGCTTATTTTATAAAGTGAAGTTAAAAACTGTGCTAATTTATAGGAATGGTCTCAAAACCTTGTTCAATATTAAATTTCACCGATAGATAAAAAAAACATGACACTGAATCTCTCAAATAGTTGAAGAAGTCCTTGAAAAAGTCTTTGATCTTTCCTAGCCAGATAAGCAATATCAAATATTTTATATCTCTCCGGCGCCAAAACTCTGCAGCCGTTGCTTCTTGGCTGGTTCGAGATAATGATTATTTGCCAATTTTCCTTCCTTATCAATTTTCGATGTGAGAGTTCAAAAATAAAACATGTGTGCTTTGCAGATCCTGCACGAAGACCCTGGAAATGCAAAGGCCATTTACAGGCGCGGCCAGGCAAACTTTGGCCTAAACAATTACGATGCAGCGCTTCAAGATTTGAGCAAGGTGAAAATGCTGCAGCCCAACGATCACGCAATAATCAAGGAAATTAATAGAGTACGAGCAGCGATTGCCAATTACCTTGTCTCGGAGAAAGAGCGCTACGGTAAAATGTTTAAGAAAGACTAGTTTGTAAGTTTTGAAGCACTGAATCTTAGTTGGTAAGACGCCAGACTGTAATATTTACGGAGATGTGTCTTTTGGAATTTTTCAAGACTTGTGGGTCCGTGCGTTGTCGCAAACTGCGTGTTTTTTTTTACTATTGAGAACGAGCGGACTGACGGGTAGTTAACAAAAGAGCTCTCATTCTGTCAGATCAAGGCATGTCTTGAGAGATATATTTATACATAGGTGACGAGACTGCCATGCATTGCCAAATCAATCCATTAACAATCAGTAATTATTGTTATCTATTCATGTCGGAGTTGTGAGATGATGTTAAATTTTGATTTTCCACTCAATAGTTCATGTTTCAAGAGTTTCACGTTACAGATCTGGCCCATTTTTCATCATATTTGACAATTTGAATATAAATCAAACACGTTTGGTAAAATAACATTCTTTTATTTTTTTAGAGTTAAAAAATGTGATAAAATAAAATCAGACCTTTACCAGTGTTAAGAAAATAATTGAATCGTTCGATTTTGATCGATTCGGATTTGTTCTATCAGTAAATGCATCACTGTAATATAATATCTGCGGATTAATACTCTGAGGTGCTTTTTAAGGAGTAAATTTTTCCACTCCCACATCTTTGCATGAGATTTCAAAGAGTTTGTCCTGCTTCTCCACATCATTCGCTTCATCTAATACTGGGTACTCGGAACAATTGCTGATATAAGAACAAGCTTTTCCTTCAATATCAGGTGATAAAGCAGCGTAGAGAACCGGAGTTGCTCCTTCAGTAGGCGTCTAAAATTTTCCGTATTACCCAAAAATATATTTGCAAAGAAAATTTTTACCTTGAACAAGAGCCTCGGCATCCATGGGAACATGCGGTCAATGTAGGTTCCCTTGAACAAATCAGTATTGACCACACCAGGGTGCACTGAGTGGATCTGCAGAGGTGCGCCTCGGGCGTCAAAACTCCTCTGCAGACTTTTGGTAAACATAAGCTGAGCCAGTTTGGACGTACCGTAGGCTGTGCTTGACACATAGTTTTTCCTTAAATGAAGTAAAAATTAAAAGTTGCAAGATGGGACAAATATTACATGTTTATATCATACTTCATTTCAAGATTATCAAAGTCGATTTTCCCTCCGAGGTGGGCCGAGGAAGAGAGATTCACAATACGAGAGTTGAGACCATTGCTAGCAGATTCCTCAAGTCTTGGTAAAAGCAATTTCGTGAGCAAAAAGTGGCTCAGGTAATTGACCTGCCATTGAGATTCATGGCCATCGACAGTTTCTTCATACGGCACCAACATTATACCAGCTATGAATTCAGAATAGAATTGAAAAAGAATTTTAATTTCAATTTAAAATTACCATTATTGATGAGGATGTGAACCTTAGGGCAGGAGTTCAAGACTTTTTGAGCAAAGTTTCTAGTTGAATCCAAAGTACTTGTGTCGCACTCAAATACTTTTGTCGTTCCAGTCTCCACTCCAGACTTTCTTATTTCTTCTACAACTTTCTCCCCAGCGCTGACTTTTCGACATCCTGTTGAACTTAATTTGTACAATTTCAACTGATAAAATATAAAATTTAATTATACCGATGACAACTTGCATGTCACACTTCAAGAGCTGGCGAATAACCTCCACGCCTATTCCTCTGGTTCCGCCAGTGATAACAACAACTCGCCCCTTTAGATTGCTTGGTAATGCTGTAATTCAATAGAAATTAAAAAAATATTTATTATTTATTGTCAAAATGAATTTTTACCAAATCTATTTTTCCTCTTATTGAACAGATCGTCCAGATTAGCTTTCATTCCAATTGCATTGTAAAGTGCCTGCTGTCGGCATCGGTCGAAAAAGTTGCTCATGGTGATTTTGTCCTGAGGACAATTGTACAAAGACGAGAGTAAAACGACAAGCCAAACGACAGGCGCGGCAGCAACAAAGTACATCCACATCTTCAAAACCTAGGTTTGTCTCTCCACCAAACTAAAAGCACAGCAGACTAATTTTTAAGATAATTATGTTAATATATTTTGCGGTAGAGCTGTCACTCTAATTACCGGCACAGCCAAGGAAGGAGTGTGATTTCAGTGCTCTGTCAAAATAACGGTGCATAAACTTTTCCCTTATTGTAGTTATTAATACTTTTGGGCCTGCCTCGCGCTTTCACTTCCTCCTAGAAGAGCAGAGCAACAGTGAGAACGAATGCGGCTTGGCCTACCACATGCCTGGCAATTACATAATATTTTATAACCTGCAGAATAAAAGTGACCAAGGTTGAATTAAAAAAAGTTACCACGTTTGATTAGCGAAGCATGACGTATAACTTTTAAGTAGAATTAAGGCGTCTCTAGAATCAAAGTTTTTGTCTTGTTGCTCCTTCTCTTGATCCATCCAGAGAGGGGTGTGACAGTGATGAATGACCTCGAAAAGTATCTTCCATGTTTGAATCTCATGAAGGTCATAAAGCGCGCGAAAAAAACAGTAATGCAATTCATTGTGCAATTATTGTTTTATGGTGGTACATAAGATTTTTCAGATTTTTATAAGTTTGAAAAAATATTATGTATGGACTTTAAAAGTAAATTTTTTATTCTTTTGTAAGAAATGCAGGCATACAGAGGAACCAGCCTTTAAGCATCACTTACAATTTCAGGAAATTTTGCTTCTAACAAATTAACTCAAAAATTATCTCCTTTATTGGCGTCAATGGCTGCAAGAAATGCAATAGTGTGTGTGTGGCGCACTTTGACTATAATTCAAAAATAATATTTCAGGTCCCAATTCAGAGACAACTATTCAGAGAATTCGGCTCTAAAAAGTCAACAACGGGTGCGTGTCTCAATGGTAGGGAAGTTAGAGAGCACGCTGGTCCTTTTAAACACTTGAACTGAACTAGACTGGAGCTGCCGAAGAGGTGTTCGGTGCTGCCTGGTCGTCTTTCTGCGAGTGGTAGCCGCCGGTCTTGAACTCCCGCCTTTCCTGGGCGCTCAACCATTGCTCCTGTACCACAAATCAGTTATAATTTGCACTGGAAATTTACTCTTTTGCAAACATTACCTTTTGCTGGTGTTGTTTAACAGCATCTTCAACCCTCTCCATGATCATCTTCTCGGTCAAAACACCATCTTCCGAGGCGTAGGCAGCAGCTTGCCATGCAACACCCAACTTGGAAATTCCTCGGCCAGACATGCCCTGAGTCATTTTGGCGATTTTTGAGCATAAGGCGCTGTAGTCCATCTCAGCAACCTTCAGCCGTCTACATATTTTAGAAGAAAATGTCCTTAAAATAACCTCGATGGGTTACGTACGAAATACCTCTTGCCCTCCGAGGCAGGCTGCAGAACAAACTTGTCAAAGTAGAGGCGGACAAGTCTTTCACGCTCCGCAAGTCCTGGAAGGCCAAACTCGACCATTTCGTCCAGACGGTCGTTGATAGCCCAGTCAAACTGCTCAGGAGTGTTGGAAGCAAGAACCAACATAAATTTGTTGGACTGCTCTCCCGTTCTGTAGAGGAAAGCATTCAACATGGCACGCAAGTCTTCGCTGATGGCCTCGGAACTTCTTTTCCGCAAAAAAGCATCTGCTTCGTCCATGAACAAAAGGAGGCCCCTTCTAGAAGTGTTTGCCCAGTCAAACACCTAAAATTTGATTTACGTAGAAAGAGGTACTAAAAATTACGATTTGAAAGTACCTTATGGACAGCAGTCACTCCTTCCTTACCCATGGGAGCAACATCACCACCAGTCATAATTGCAAAGTCCATTCCAGAGTGCATTGCCAATTTCTAAAATAAAAACAATAATAATAAAAAATAAAAGGTGAGACTTTTAAAAATGGAAGTTTAACTTAAAACATTTTTGTTCGTCTTCCAGCTAGCTCTATTACCTTGGCAAACATGGTCTTTCCTGTTCCAGGTGGGCCGTGCATGAGGATATTGCGATACATGCCCTTATTATGCTTTGTATTTTTTGTAGCAATGGCGACGTCTCTGTGCAAAATAGAATTAAAATCTACGTTTAAAAAAATTTTAAATATCAACCTTAATCTTTCTTCCAGTTTTGGAGACAAAACAACACCAGACAAGGCATCTTGCGGCTTCAGCTTGAGTCTCTTCACAGTATTGACAGGGTGCTTGAAAGCCTCAAGAACAGAAAAACGAGATGTTTCTCGCACCAGTGAAGGTTTTCCAAGTCGTGACTCGATGTACCGAGCACCAACCCCTGTGGCTCCTCTGGCCGTGTATACACCTAGAGCCAGAAGGGAAACGCCGCCAGCTGCCACTATTACTTTGTCCCAGTCTTGCAGAAAAGCCTGAAAGCCTGCTCCCAAAACAGAGCCAGCCGTCCTGAAAATTATTCGTTTGAATCAGCACATTTTTAAAAACTAATAGGAATATTACTTTATGGACTCCAAAACAGTGGTTCGATTTTCTGCAGCCTTTAGTCTGATCTGCTCCAAGGTCAAGTCTTGATTTTCCCTGTCGATTTTTGCCTTTGCCGACAACTCTGCTTCCAGTCTCCTCATTTCATTCCGGTGCCTCAATTCCATTTCGTGCTCAATCGTTGCTGCAAATTTAGATCAAAATTTATTATCTTAACCATCAAATTTTAGAGAAGATACATTTTCTCATAGATTCTTGTTTAGCAACAGATTCTTCTTGTCTGCGGAGATTCTCATCGTTGGCCCGAGATTGTTGAAGCAACTGATCCTCATTTCTGGAGAGCAATAAATTATAAATGCCCTGCATAGAAACCATTTATTTTTTAAATACCTCTTTCTGGCTAACTGGTCTTGGTACTGGGCACGCATTTGGTGCTGCTTGGTTTCCTCCTGCAGCGTTTTTCTCCTTTCATCACCCTCAACTCTCTTTGAGTCCAACTTCATCTGCTCGATGTGTGCTTCGTATTCTTTGGCCTTGGCCACCAACTCCGAGTGCCGGGTCATCTCCTGCAGTTTTGATAGCTCCAGAGCCTCCTTAGCATTTCCTACAAATTAAAATAATTTTTTAAGATGAAAATAACAAAAAAATTGAATCATAATATTACTGGAAGATTCCAATTCCCGAGCTGCTTTTGCTGCCCTTTCCAAAGCTGCAGAGTCGAATCTAAAATTCATAAAAAAAATTACAATTATTTAGCAAAATAAAAAAATTTGAAAAATTGCATCATTGAACCTGTAAGCGTCGCTGCGTGATTTTTCCGGTTCGTTTGGGTTGCCTCCGCCGCCCCCAGCAGAGCCGTCTCCTGGAGGCGGAGGCATGTCTGTAGGAGGGCCGCCTCCGCCGTCCCTCTTCACGCCAAATAACCAGGACATTTTTTAATTTTGCGTAAATCGATCACCGGGGTTTGAGCACGTTTTTCGATTTTGTTGCGGCAGCTGATTCTGGCTAATCTGGCTGATTCCGAAAACGTTAGTTCCTGAGCCGGCCACGGAGGGCGCAAACTGGCATACTAACTTCTTCTTCCCGGCCTTCCCGTCCGCCAGATAGCACCACTGGCGCCGCCTGGCTCGGAAGAACACGTTGTCGGGTTGTTTTCGGCTTTTTCATGTTGGATTTTTCGTGATTTTCCGGACTATTTAGCATCAGATCACCATGGCTAAGTTTGATCTTACTCACAAATTAGGGCAGTATTTAGACAGGCACCTGGTTTTCCCTCTGCTCGAGTTCCTGTCCGCAAAACAGGTTGGTGAAATTTGGCACCCGGTGCTGTTGGGTTTGTAATGTGACAGATTTTGACTAAAAAGTCTTTATTTTCCACAGATCTACGATGAAACGGAGCTTCTGCAGGGAAAACTCGATATTCTTAGCAAAACCAATATGTTGGATTACGCGATAGACATTAGAAAGCAGCTGCATCCGAACGCAGAAGTTCCAGAGGTTTGTCAACCTTTTTACGGCACATCTAGATTTTAACCTTTCTTTTACTGCAGGACCTTAAAGTCAAGAGAGCACAAGTTGTCGCAGAATTGACCGAGCTGCAGAACGAGGTTGAACTTGTCTACAAGCTTATGCAGAACGAGGAGGTCATGCAGACCATGGAGACGATGAGAGATCCCAAAGTTCTTCTAAGCCACCTCACCAAGGAATATGATGTAAACAAATTTAAATCTCAATTTTAGTGCCTGACCTTCTAATTTCTCAGTTCAAAATTGACATGATGGACAACTTGGTCAAGTTCGCAAAATACAGGTACGAGTGCGGCAACTATTCTGTGTCCACAAGCTACCTGTACTTCTATATGCTCATCATGCCCCCCACAGACAAGGTTTGTCTATTATAATTTGTATAAACAAGAATTAAACTTCATCCTTCAGAATTATCTAAATGTTCTTTGGGGAAAACTGGCTTCGGAAATCTTGGTGCAGAACTGGGACACTGCCTTGGACGACTTGAACAAACTGCGAGAGTTCATCGACTCCAACGCTTTTGCCAACCCCCTGCAAGTTCTGCAGCAGAGGACGTGGCTCATTCACTGGAGTCTGTTTGTCTTCTTCAACCACGCAAAGGGCAGGGACCACATCATTGAGATGTTCTTGTACAGACCAAAGTATAACTAGCAAAACTCTTGCCTCTGAAGGATGATATTTAAATAAAAAAAAATCTAATTCTAGCTACTTGAATGCCATCCAGACAATGTGTCCGCACATTCTGAGATACCTGGCCACTGCCGTCGTCATTAACCGATCTAGACGGAACGCTCTCAATGCCCTTAAGGATCTTGTCAAGGTCATCCAGCAGGTATGGTCCAAGAATGTCCTTCAAACTTAGCATTAACTTATTCCTTGCAATAGGAATCTTACACATACAAGGACCCAATCACAGAGTTCTTGGAACACTTGTACGTCAATTTCGATTTTGACGGGGCAAGGCAGAAGCTGAACGAGTGCCAGGAAGTTTTGTACAATGACTTCTTCCTCATCGCATGTCTAGACGAGTTTGTTGAAAATGCGCGTCTCATGATCTTCGAAACATTCTGCCGCATTCATCAGTGCATTACTATCGGGTAAAATTATCTTCAATCAAGAAATCTGTAAAGATTTAAATCTATTTCCTAATCATTTTTAAAATTTATAGAGCTCAATTTTTTGTATAAAATTAAATTTATTTATAAAATTATTTTCAGTATGCTTGCTGAGAAGTTGAACATGAACCCTGAGGAGGCCGAGTGCTGGATCGTCAATTTGATTCGTAACGCACGACTAGATGCAAAAATCGACTCGAAAATGGGTCATGTCGTGATGGGAGCCCAGCCTGTGTCCCCCTACCAGGTTTTGTTGGAACGCGTCGACACTTTGTCTGTGAGATCGGAGGCTCTGCAAAACCTTATCGAGCGTAAGGTGAAGGCAAAATCACAGGATGTAAGTTTTGGTAAATTTTAGCGTGTTCGAATATGCAAATTTTGAAACCTTGCAGAACCGCTGGAACAATAACGATTTCTGAAAGTAAGCTGACAGTGACACCTTGAGCCGACTGTAAACTTTTTACATCTACGAAATAAATACTGAGTTGGAACACAACTTTCATGACTTTTGTTTTAGCAGAAATGGTGAAGAAATATATATCCCATTATGGGATTTAAGCTAATATTATTAATACCCACAAATTCTATTTGCGTGCAGGAAATATTATTCTCGTGAACTATATCTATAATAGTAATAAATTCGTTTTGATCTATTCTAAAAATATCACAAACACAACAGGCTTCTTTGAAAAAAACTTATATTGACCTTGTGAGTTCAAAGAATACCAATCAATTAGAAATTTTTTTTGGTGCTTTGCTTTATTCCATAAATAAATCACGTTTAATAAGTGCATGATCAATAAAATCCCTTGGCACCCAACTTGATCGCATGTGTATTAACCCCAAGCCGTCGCGACTATAAGGTCGCCGCTCGTGCGCCTGTACGTCAGACTTGCTACTGCAAGGGAGTGTAGGCAAACCCGCATAGCAGAAGCAGTCTTCTTTTTTTCTGAACGCGAGCAAGATGTCGACGGAGCTGGACAACTGGATAGAAATTGCAAAAACGTGCAAATATCTGCCAGAAAACGATTTGAAGGTAATGCAGTCAACATAAGCCAAAGGTGCTTAACACCTTTTTTGGAAATTTGGTTAGAAAAATTGAAAATAAGAGCCTAAAATTTGAAATATTCGTGGTGTTTTCCGATAAAAGTGGGTGTGTCGTCCTATCATGACTCCTTTTATTTACCAATTAAACATCGTAAAACTAGCTTAATATTTGACTCATTCATTCTTAATGTTCAAATTTACACTTTGGAAATACACCGTTAATTACATAATGTTCAATAGGAATTTTTTTAAACCGTAAAATTTTATTTTGCGCCTATTTTGTGATTTTTGTGGGGCCGGTTTTCAAGCATCTTAATATATTTTTCTCTCTAATCACTAATTTCCCCCTTTTTTCCAGAAATTATGTGACATCGTTTGCGACCTTTTGCTCGAGGAGTCCAACATCCAGCCCGTGTCCACTCCAGTTACCGTTTGCGGAGACATCCATGGGCAGGTAAAAACGTAAAAAGCACCTCATCTTAAAATAAGCAAAAATTTCTTTTGAAATCCAATTTTGATCATTTTCCACTTCTTCTGCAGTTTTACGATCTGGAGGAGTTGTTTCGGAAGGGCGGGCAGGTCCCCGACACCAACTATATCTTCATGGGTGACTTTGTGGACAGGGGCTACTTCAGTTTAGAAACGTTCACTCGACTGCTCACCCTGAAAGCCAAATGGCCCGACAGAATCACCCTGCTGCGGGGAAATCACGAGTCGAGGCAAATAACCCAGGTCTACGGTTTCTACGACGAGTGCCAGAATAAATATGGCAACGCCAATGCTTGGAGGTACTGCTGTGGTGTTTTCGACCTTCTGACTGTGGCCGCTGTAAGTCTGCGTCTTATAAATTCAAGTAAAAGTGTTTAATCTAAAAGTTTAAGCTTATCGATGGTGAAGTTCTGTGTGTGCATGGAGGACTTTCTCCTGACATCCAAACCCTAGACCAGATTAGAACAATTAACAGGAATCAGGAGATACCCCATAAAGGTAAAATGATGGAATTAAACTAAATTTTTTTTATGAAATAATTTTCAATAAAATTCAGGTGCCTTTTGCGACCTTGTTTGGTCCGACCCTGAAGAGATCGACACGTGGAAAGTGAGCCCAAGAGGTGCTGGCTGGCTCTTTGGCTCCATTGTGACTCACGAGTTTATGCAAATCAACAACCTTAACCTCATTTGTAGAGCCCACCAGCTGGTGCATGAAGGTACTTAATAAAATTTGCAGAATTTCAATTTTACTCATAATTTTTATTTTTTAGGGTACAAATATATGTTTGACGACAAGTTAGTGACTGTCTGGTCGGCGCCCAACTACTGCTACCGGTGCGGCAACATTGCCTCCATCCTCTCGTTCTCTTCCAGCACCTGCAGAGAGCCCCAGTTGTTTGAGGCAGTGCCCAGTTCAGAGAGAACTGTACCTGATAGGACCACCACACCATATTTCTTATGATTCCTAAGCCTAAAGTTATCACTAAATTACATGTTGCAAGCATGCAATGCTTTGTGATTTTCATTGACATTATTGAAACACACACACCATACACTCATCAATCCAGCGAGTTTTTTTCATGGTCTCTGTTTAACCGCGGTTCCCGAATATAACTGATACTTGTAATTATCATATTCCAATCAAACTTTATAAGCTTCTTGTGAACTGCAATAAATTTTTCAATTATTAGTTGACAAATTGTCTATTAACTCTATTATGCATGTATGTTGCTGTCGCAAATATCCATATCAAAATATATAATGAGACAATTAAATAAATGTATATTTCTTTCAACTTTATGTCCGGCATCATTAAATACGTTGGAAATTTATCAGTGTGAGAAACTGAAACTTGCTGATAGAGCGCAGGACGACCTCAATTTTCAAGGAGGGCCCCATTATTGTTTAACCAGACAGCAAACCTCCAACTACGATGTTACGTTTTCTTGTATATTTTCTGTTTTTAGGTAAATTTAGAAAAAAAATGTTTATTTTGTTCTGACTTGTAAACTTAGGAGCGACTTTTGCCAGAACTTTGCCAACAGCAAAGGAGGGCATGGACGATGAGGTGGGCGCCGAAAAGGTTTAATTTAAAAATAATTTTTAATATCAAAAATTATAATTTTACAAACTATTTTCATAAAAATTGTATTTTGGGTCGAAAGCCATGTAATGTTTTATGCTAAATTGAAAATTTAACTTTTGTTAATTGTTGCACATATATCAAGCAGCCTGTTGGACTTGTCGATGTACAAAACCCTTGGGACCTGAAGCAAAGTAATTTTTCTCATAAATTTATTATAAAGAATTTTTAATTTTATTTCTTCTTATTTTTAGAAGAAATCGTAAAACCAATTCGTTCCACCGAAGAATTTGGAAATGAAATTCCGCAAAACTATGCCTACGCATACAGCGCTACTAATAATGGTGATGGTCAGCCCATTGGCTATGTGATGGGAATCAGGTTGTTCTTCAACGACATGATGCCAGCGGTGCCCTTGTTTGGAATTTCGGCTGCCTACCCTGTTCAAGGTTATTTTTAAAATAATTTAGCACAATTTAGGGTTTTTTTGTGGTGTGACATGAGACGCTTTTCAACCTTAAAAATTTGTATGAGTCAGAATAATAATTAGGCGCCGCCGCACGCTGTGGTAATTAATGTGGGGGACAAAAGCCAGGTCAAAATGATAATAAAAAAAATATAGCGTGACAGGTTGCGAGAGTTGATAAGAATTGTCTAAAGTCTGGAAAAACCTAAAACTTGAACATTCCACTTCTGACTGTTTTCCAAGAGGGTCGCGAAATTAAAATATTTTGACAAAAGTTAAGAATTATGGCAAAATTATATTTTGTTGTTCTTTTTGCCCTTTTAGGGATGGTAGCTAATGGTATACAAATTTTTATTGTAATATGCAACTAATATATATTTTTTATTGTTTTAAATTTAGGAGTTTCGGCAAATGATGGGAAACCTATTGAAGTTGCTAATAAGGAACCTGTGCAGCCCCTCAATGTTGGCAATGTTGTTAAAAATAAAGTAGACCAGGCGATTGCTGAGGACGCCAAGAAAATCAGCAAGAAACATGAGAGCATGATAAAGAAGGTTCCTCTCGCAGATCACGTGGATCCAGACTGCGATGAGAAGTGCAAGGATGAGGTGGAAAAAGCCAAGAAATTGCAACCTGCTGCTCAAAATGCAATTCACACTGGAGAGGTTAAGGTGGACACAAAGGAAAAAGTCGTTGAGGTCAAACCAAAGGTACCCGAAATTCATCATGATGTCGTGCCTCCAAAGAAGGTGGAGCATCAGGCAGTAAAATCAGAAGTTGCCGGAGCAGACAAAAAGGAAGAGGTTAAGAAGGTCGAGCAAATTCATCAAACCGTAAAAGTTGAAGAAAAACCAAAGATCGCTGGGGACAAAAAAGAAGAGTTTAAGAAGGTCGAGCCTCATCAGGGCGTAAAAGTCGAAGAAAAACCAAAGGCATCTGGAGAAAAAAAGGAGCCGATTGCAGCTGCCAAAAATGGTGAAAAGAAACTCGAAGTTCCTGAACCTGGAAAATCCAAATTGCTCCATGGCAATAAGGAAAGTTCTGGCAAAAGTGGAAAGCCTCCATCCGGCGTGGCAAAAGCTGACGCTGCAGAGAGTTCGACCGGAGCAACCCCAGTTACTCCTCCTTCGTCCTCCGTTTGGAACTCAATTTCCAAATTCTTCACTTCGATTGCAAACATTTTCAGCTCGTCATCTTCCAATACCAAATCTACTGTCAGCCCCAACACTCCCAGCACCGCGGCTCCAGAAGCTAAAAGCGCCGAAGCAGTGAAGGATAAGAAAATCGAAATTCATGCTGCAGGTGTTGAGCAAGGCAAGAAGTCTCGCAAATAATTGCAAGATATGATATGATTACAATCCAATATTAATAAAATTCACTGGCTTTTCTCCGTGTGTTATATGCAGTGAAATTTCTATTAAATTATAATGGTTTTTTGATGAGTCCATACTGTTTTCATTGGTTTTAATAAAAATTTGTGCTTATTAGCACAAAATAGAAAATATCATTTTGATTGATTTTATTAAATAGATTACATTTTAGGGCTAAAATATATGTGTACAGTATAACTATTTGTTAATATCGGTTAATGTTCATACAGCACGCACGGTCAAGTAAGAAAAATAATATAGAGGTTTGGTTGGTGGCTTTGGTGCGTCTTTTTTTAGAACTTTAAATGACTTGGCAGTAATGCAGTTTAGTAAATAAAATAAGGTTTATGTAAAAAAATAAATAGTTCAAAATGACTTAATATAATCGCTAATAAGCCTGTTATTTTATCGGATATCATTTAGATTTAATACTGATTTATGCGTTTCGGTTCGGACCTGGTTCGGACGGAGATCATTTTACGTTTGGCGCCGTTTAGTGCCAAATTTCATATCCAAAGCCCTCTGGCGGAAGGATTGCGCGTCACAAATGAAGCTTGGGCGGTGGTCGCCAAACACAAACAACAGGTGTTGGTCCCAGTTTTTGTCCATTTTTATGGACACTCCGACCTCAAATTTTTGGTTCATTGTTAATTTAGACTGAAAATATGATTTCGTTTCGATCGGAGTGGTTCATTTTGTCATTTCTCTTCGTCCAAGCGACAGGTGAGTCCTTAAAAATTCACATTTCGCAGGTGGTTCTCAACGCTTTTTCAAGGTGGAGCACCCGCAATTAATAATTATTTTCATTGGATTAATTGATAAAAATGTTATGAAATTTGACATTAAATTTTTTTAAACCACCTTTCCAGCTCAATACAGTTCGCAAGAAGACGAAGGAACTGCAAAATGGTGCACCGTTAGTTTAGCCGAGCAGTACAAATGCCAAAATTTTTCAAAAGCGGTTGAAAGGGACACCCTGTCAAGTAAATTTAGCAGGGACGCACTGAAAGTCGAATGCGTTCGAGTGAGTACAACCAAATAAAAACTATATCAAATTAATATTTATGATTTTCAGTTATTAACCGCCTTGCATTATTTTAGGCTTTCAACAAAGACGAGTGCATGACTCTTTTGGACGAGGGTACCGTCCATTTGACAAGTCTGGACGCCGGTGAGGTCTTCATTGGAGGCCGGTACCACAGTTTGATCCCTTTGATGCAGGAGACACTTGAAGGCATGTTAATTATCAATTGAGTTGAGAGCATGTTTTAAATTTGAATTCATTCAGGTGGCGCCTTGAACTATTTCGCAGTTGCTGCGATTAAAAAGGGTACTTTGACCGACGTGCGAAAGTTACGAGATCTTCGCAACAAGAGAGCCTGCTTTGCGGGTGTCGGAACTCAAGCCGGATGGGTCATTCCGATTGATGTGGTCAGTTTTTTTTAAAAATATTATCTATAAATTAATCTCATTTGTAAACCAATCTGCAGATGATGAAGCAAGGTGGTTTAGAAGTGATCGACTGCAACAACCATGTCAAATCGGCCATTGAATTTTTTGGCCCGAGCTGTGCAGTCAACTCTCTGACCGATAAATACAATCCAATTGGTAAACTGGAAATCAAAACCCAGAGTGGTGATAATATTCATTTTGATATTAATTCTCAGGTGACAACTCTGACAAGCTGTGTCAGTTGTGCATTGGTGAGGTGCCTGGAGGAAGGTGTACAAGTGCCGATCCCTATGCAGGGTTTGAAGGCGCCTTCCGCTGCTTGGTTGAAACAGGGGACATTGCTTTTTTGAAGCACACAACCATTCAAGAAATGGTCTCCGCCCAAACACTTAGTAATATCTTTTCTTCATAATATTCTGATTTAATTTTAATGTTAAAATTAGCTTCTGTCCGGAAAGACCAGTTTGAGCTCTTATGTCGAGACGGAACAAGAGTTTCCGTAGACGAATACAGGAATTGCAACTGGGGTGAAGTTCCTTCCCACGCGGTAGTAACTTCATCAGGCCAGTCGTTTGACAGGCGAAAGAGTTTCCAAAAATTCCTTAAGGTTGTTGAAAAGGCATTATTTTTCTATTTAATCTGTCAATTATATTTATTATCAGCAAGCGGTCAGACTATATGGAGGTTCAGTTCCGTACTCTCCGACGCCTTCTTCTCAGGTCAACCGAACTAGGATTGACTTCACTACTGAGAGAAATCAGTATGATAGGTTTGGCAATCCTATCAGTAACCGGGATCAAGACCGCTTCGGCAATACCAATCGGGATCAAGATCGTTTTGCTAATAATAACCGGAATCAAGATCAGTTTGGCCAGGAAGTTCAGTATGATAGATTTGGTCGGCCCATATCTCGTCAGAAGAGACAGTTTGAATTAGACAGATTTGGACGACCGATCAATAACAGAGATAGAGATTATGTGACAGACCCTCCTGAAGATACCCAGCCAAAAACAGAGGACGATTTTAAGCTGTTTGTCTCTGCAGCTAAGTACGGACGTCAACACAATCTCTTGCTTCAAGTAACAAAAAATTCATTCTATAGTTTCAATTTAATATTTGATTCTAATAAAGGACACTGCTCGAGGTTTGATAGCAATTGAGGAGAACAAACAAACCTATTCTGGCTACCTCGGTAAGGCTCTGGAGCCAATTTTATCTGTTCGAAAGTGTCCTGTTGGAAGAATGACCCTTTGCGTTACGTCTGAGCCGGAAATGGAAAAATGCAACAGGATGAGGGTGCGTAGTTTTCTGATTTTGATAATACTCGGGTATAATTTCTTTTTATCCCTCTAGACTGCTTTGCGGGCGCAGCTTCTGAAGCCAGACATGTCCTGCTTCAAAGCGCACAGCCACGTCCATTGTCTGCAAGCCATCAGGAGTGGAGACGCTGATGTAGCTGTCATGGACGCCAGCGACGTTTATACCGGAGGACTTAGCTACGATCTCATCCCATTTATTGCTGAGGTTTACAACCTGGGCAAGCCTGAATACTACGTTGTTGCTGTTGCCAAGGAAAATGATCCGAGTACAGAACTGACTTATCTGAGAGGTAAAATAGCAATAATTTTACTCATTGTTTTAACTTGAGGCAAATTTTGACATCAGGAAAGTACACTTGTCACACTGGAATCAACACTGCGTCTGGATGGGTAATTCCCCTGGCCTATCTGATTTCAAACGGTTGGATTCGGAGTTACGGTTGTGACAGTGTGAAAGCGGCTGCCGAATATTTCTCAAAGTCCTGCGTCCCTGGCGCCCTGAGTGCCGAGTACAACAGTGGCGTGCCTTACGACAATCTGTGTCACCTGTGCCACGGCTCAAGCTTTCGGTACTGCCGCAGGGACGCTTCCGAGGACTACTTTGGGCACACTGGTGCCTTCCGCTGTCTTGTCGAAGGGGGTGGTAAGTCAAGAAATTTTAATTTGAAAATTTCACTGATTATTCTGTGTTTTTCAAGGTGATGTTGCTTTTGTCAAACACACTACCGTGATGGAAAACACAGATGGCAAGAGGAGGGAGTGGTGGGCTCGAAACACTCTTACTGATGACTACGAACTGCTCTGCCCGGACGGCACAAGGGCTTCTTTGAAGGACTACAAGTGGTGCAGCCTTGGCAAGGCAAAGGCCAACGCCATAATCACTAGGGGAGGAGCAGGATATAATGAGAGTGAAGTGGAGGCGTATACAAATCTGTTCGTCTATGCTCAGCAATTTTATGGACGTAAATATCAAGACGAGTTCAGGTGAGCCAAAGTTAATAAATTTTTAACAACCATGCACTAAAAAAATGTTTCAATATAGTTTCAGCATGTTTTACTCGCCTCCACCCTACTCTGACTTGATATTCCAAGACGCAACCCAGCAGCTCTATATTCTTCCGAAGGATGAGCGCAACTACAGGTCATACCTGGGCAGGGACTTTATGAGGGCCCGGGCCCTTGTTGACTGCCACGCAGGAGCAGCTGGATTGGCCGAATCACTGGCGCTCATTTTCATGTCGACTTTTGCAATTTTGCTCGGCAGAAGGCATTTTTAGAAACTAGCTTAGTTTTTGCAGATAAATAATTTTACTGTTATTAATTTTATGTTCAATCAATCAAAGAAAACTGCATTCCGTCCACTTTGCAGATTCAAATCAAGCATTCCGTCCACATTGTATTTTACAAATGACATGAAGTATTAAAGATCTGACTTATATTATTTGTAGTGTTATAAATTAACTGTGAACTCATATTATTCAATTTTTGTCCACCTTCCATTACTGGAAGAAGTCAGTTTCAGTTAAGTGAATCTGTTTTTATATTTACAATATTTTTATATTACAAACAAAGACGGATACTTTTAAAAATAATTTTGTTATAAGAATGGTTGAACGAGAATACATCTTGAATGACATTCAAAAATTCTGATTTTTATTTCAATACACATGCTTACTTATAAAAAAAATTAAAGTTTTTGGTTCACTAAAATTTAGGGAAAATAATGAAAAGTTTTAGCCAAATATTTGCATATCGAAAATGGTGAAGAAACATTATTTTAGTTACCATGGCAACTAAATTTAAGATTCCAATTTGCTATGCTATACTTTATAGCATTTTATAACTTCGTTAAAAGAATGAACAAGAAGGAAGGTAATTTAGTTCATAGAAAATTTAATTATTTTTAACCTAATTGATGAAATTATTATGTAGAGGCCTCGAATCTTGAGAAGAAAATCAATGATGCCTTCAAGCTTTTTGATCACACGGGGTCAGATGCAGTCGACGTGAGAGAAATAGGAACCATTATCAGATCATTGGGTTTCATATTTAAAACAAATAATAATAAATAGCTTTGATAATTTTTCATCGAAAAAAATAACAGGCTGCTGCCCATCGGAATCTGAGCTACAAGAAATACTCGTCCAGGTCGAGGACCAGGAAATGACTGGCAGCGTCAAGCTCAATAGGTTTCTGCCAGTGATGGCTGAAATTCTTCAAGAGAATCGGTGACCGAATTCTGTTTTATTAGAAAAAAATATTGATTTTTTTTTGTATCATTAGCTTACAAGGGGCAGAGCCTGAGCTTTTGCTGGCGGCACTAAAAACTTTCGACTTTGAAGGAAAGGGTACTGTTGATCCTGAAAGACTAAGAGAACTGTTGACCACCGAGGGAGAAGCGTTTTCCCAAGAGGAGATGGACGACATGCTAGCAGCCGCTGTAGACCCGAACACAAGCTTAATACCCTATGAGGATTTTGTGCCGAAGCTAATGGTAAAATTAATTTTCGAATAAGTTGCAAAAATTAGAGGCATTTATTATTATTTTTTTTTTAAATTAAATACTCCATAAAAATATCAACAAAACAAGTCCATTACCTTATTTAACAAATAAAATTCTATTTGTTCAAAGTTTGGCAAAAGTAGGCGGTGGGCTCTTGGTAGCCTGAGCCATAGCAGCATTTATAAAATCTTCACTCTGAAGCATCGTCATGTTCCAATATCGCTGAAAGAAAATAATTTGGTTATCTATATGAAAAAAAAAACCAAAACTTAAAGAGCAATATATTGATTAAAAATTTATTAAATTTAGGTTGACCGAGACGAGCCCCAGTCTGAAGGTAAAATCTAAAACTCACAATGAAGTCGAGTCCCTCCTGCGTGCTGTGGTTTCTGGCGTGAACCAGCGATCTCTTGGTGAGCTGGACAGCCACTGGACTTTTGCTAGCAATCGTTTCTGCCAATTCGATTGCTCCAGCCAACAAACTATAATAAAATAATGAATTTTGCACTGAAGAATTGAGACATGAAAACTGTTTTACTTTTCTTTAGTGTCGTAAACTTTGCTGACGAGCCCACAGTCTTTGGCCTCTTGTGATTCCACCTTTCTGGAGGTTAAGCAGATTTCGTTGACCAGACTTTGGTTGCCGATGATCCTGGGCAGTCTCTGGAGGGTGCCGACGTCAGCAGCCATGCCAATGTCAACCTCCTTGACCTGGAACCAGGCGTCTGAAGAGCACAATCTGACGTCAGTGGCCGTCAGCAAGTCGAGGGCTCCGCCAATGCAGGCATTGTGGACGGCGCCAATCACAGGTTTCGGACACCTTTCCACAGCTGAGATGTCGTTCTGGTAGCCGTTGAGCCAATCCTCGATGACTTTGCACTTGCGGGCAATGTCATCGTGCTCAGCAAGCAATCCACCAAGCTCTACCATGTCTTTTAGGTCAATTCCTAATATATAGAAAATAACAAATTTGTACTATAAAATTTTTTATATTATTCATACCTGCACTGAACACTTTTCCAGCAGCCGAAAGAACAATACTCCTGCAATCGTCCTTCGAGGCAAGGGTGTCAAAACATTTTCCAATTTCACTGAAAAATATAGAATTTTTAAAAATTCGGAAAAACGAAAAAGGTGTACTTTAAATTTCACTTACAACCACATTTTTCGGTTCATCGTGTTAAGATTTTTTGGTCTGTTCAGTTTGACTTGGTAAACAAATGGTTTGGGAACAGTAATGCTCAAGGTTTCAAAACCCTCCATTGTCGAAGAAAACACCTTGGATTGCTCTGGAAATTTATTTATTTTCAGATCTCATAAATATCCAAAACAAATCCGATGAATTGTAATTTATTTTTTAACTTACTCAGCAAAGACGCTGGAGATATTTTTAATTGCCTGATGGCGAGAGACGAAAACATTTTGTGTATACCTGATTAAGCCTCTCAATTGGAACTGTTAATCAGCCGAGTATTGCGACGGTGATAGGAAAAATAATTCGAGTAGAAGAGCAAAGGTGAATTTCTCCGTCAGTCCTACAACATGAATAACAACAAACAAGAATGGCGAATGGAATGAATGGACTACGATTGTGCGCGTTGCAGTGCGCTTGCCAGATTTCACTCACTGCATGGTTATGCAACACGCTTGACATCAAATAACTATAGAATTTTTCGGAATTTTTATTAATAATTATAATTTTTCTTCATATTCTTCTTAATTATTTATCAATAGTGATGAGTAATAATTCTTTTGGATAGAATTATTCTGTTGCTTTATTTCATCTTTTTCATTTACAAATAAATATTCAAAGAAAAATTGAGGCAAATTAAAATATTAATTAATTTGCAGTTCAGGCCTGATTTTGAGATTAGGCAACTTTTTAGCTCGTATATAAATATTTAAATCACCCCATACTTGAAAGGCACTGTCATTTATTGGTGCTCAGCACAACATTGGCCACAATGGCTAAAATCAAGACAAGTCCGCCGATAGCCGCGTAGAGCGCGAGGTTGCTTGGTTTGTTCTGCTCGACGGCCATCGGGGTCGTCTCCCTTTCCTCCGGAGGAACCATCAGCTCTGGGTCTTCGACTTCCTCCTCCAGCTCTGCAGCTTCGTCTTCAAATTGACAGCCCAAGAGCAACTCCAAGGATGCCTGTGAGTCTGTCGATGCCTCTCCGGGAAACAAGTAGTTGGAAATCTTGGCCGAGGAGCACGGCAGACTAAAGAGGACCCTTCTGGGCAGGTCGTGCTGGATGAACTTCTCCTCCGGACTGCCCTCCTCCTCCTCGATCAAAGCGTCCGTGTGCAGCTCCACTCGGGTTCGCAACGACCGAACAATGTCCTCCTTCAGACTGGCCACCACTTCCTCGATGGACGTCTTCGGGTGCAGGAAGACTCTGCCGTGGACATGACCTCCGACAGTCAACACTCCAGCGCACTTGGTCTTGACCACTTCGGCCTCAGGTTCGATCGGGTTGCGAACAAGAAACTGAGCCACCAGTCTGGACTCCTCCTCGTCCCCTGAGGAACGGCTGATGGTGTCCAGAGTGGCGTTTTTGTCCAGGACGGCGCCTCCAATGAGACAGTGGGCATCCCTTAGCAACTTTTCCTGCTCGTTCAGAAGGGCTTTGAGGTTAGTTTTGGTTGAGGTGACACCTTTGCCACCCGCCGGAAGAGGGATTTTGAAGTCAAAGACGAATCTAGTGTCCACCTCCTCCCACCGAATGGGGTTGGACTGGAACTTGAAGTCAACATTGTTGAGGTGCATTTTGGCGTCCATGTATTTGCAGGTGGCCTTGTGGGTGGTGCAGTTGTAGTGGAGGACCAGGCGTTCCGCCAAAGGGCTGTTCAGTTTGGCCAAAAGGGTTTCCAGTTTTTTGGTCTGCGAGGTGTCCAGGAGGCCGGAGCTGTTGGGGTCCTTGCTGATGGAATAAATGCCTAGGATGTTGTGGCCACCTGAGAGCAGTCCAGACACGTTTTTGGCGTGCGACTGGAGGTTGTAGGCGTTTAGGTCGGCCAACGAGGTGACCACCTGGTTCGCCGGCTGCTCGTCCTCCTCTTTGCTCTCGAAATTCGGAGTTGGCGGAGCGTGGATGACGTAGTCGTGTTGCTGGCATCGCTGGCCAAGAACCAAACCGGACACGAAACCACTGTCAGGGCCGAGGTTCTCAAGGTACTCCCGGAGGCTCTCCTCAGCGTGCACTCCTTTCAGCATGACGGAAATAATAATTATGGGAGCTGAAAATATATTAAAATTAAAAAAATTTTCAAGTTATATACGTAAAAAAATTTACGTAGCAAAATATCAAATCATTATATAACTTCGGTGGTAAAAATTAAAAATATAAATTAAAAATTGGTGAATTGCCATTTTTTTCTCTGAATTATGCCGCATTATATGTACGCACTGGCATCGTTTCATATGAATTGGGATAAAACCCACTGGCAAGTGAAAAATTGTGCAGTTTTTAAGAAAACTAACCTTCAACCACGAACGACAGCCAAATCAACAATGCAAAATGTTTTTTATGAAATTTTTTGCAAGAAAACAGAGAGCATACGTTTGTGCTTCGTGTTCTGACAGCTTTTTAATTTTTGCCTGACTGGAAAGGGGCGTGGCTCTTCTGTTGTTTTGGTTGTGGGTTACGCCCCCCTAGAGTGAGCTGAAGAGCGCAGCCTCTCGGTCCTTGCGACCCTTGCGTCTTGCGTGTTGAAAGGACTGCGAGGACCGGGCAAAAGTCGGTCAATAAACAAAATAATTCACGCTGGTCAATTCCATGTACACACTATTGCTGTAGAAAGCAGGTAATGACTATGTACTTGTTGTATTTGCTGGTTGCTTCTACAGTTTGAAATTTAAGTTTTCAATTTCTAGTATTTAATACATCATTAAAATTTGCTCAAGAAGAAAATTAAGAGCTACAATAAACAAGCTCGATGATCTTTATTTTTTTACGTATTATCTGACTATGGATTTTAAAGTTCAAGTTTCAGTCTTATTTATTAATTAAAACGAATGTTTTTTAAATAAAAAATTGTTATTTGAAGAAAACATAAAATTTTGGAAGTGAAAATACAATTTATAACAACATAGTCGCTCTGTAAAGAGACAAAATATATGACTTAGTTTGTTTTCTTCACGCATTAATTTTTAATGTGCTCTGCGCAAAATGTTCAATTTGAAACTTTTTACAGAGGCAATTTTATCAGATTTTAATTAAATTATTTGAAGTTAAAAATTCTGAACAACTTATTTTACAACTTTTTACATACAAGAATTTGTAAGTATAAATTTTGATTTGCTGTCAAAAATTTTAATATTCTTTAGCTTACTTTATTATTACATAATAATTATTATTGCTATAATTCATTGAAAATGATTCAGAGTTGTTCTATCATAAGTTAATATTGGTGTGTTTGCATGTTGAGCATTTGTGCTCTTCAAAAGATAAGATTGTGAACTTGCTGCGATAAATTTGATTAGTGTTAGACTCAAGGCAAATAAAGAGCAACACACAGCATTATCTGATTACATAACCATTTGTTACACGACTAAAACAAAGCTGATCAGATCCATTTCAGTTCCAGTTGTTGCTGAGAATGGCGGTGGAGGTTTTGGACGTGGACCACCTGGCCATCAGTGCCATCGTCACTGTGGCCATGCAGTTTATTTTCTTTGTCATCGCTGCCTTCTTCGAGTTTGACAAACTGACCGACTTGGCCGGTGGGGCCAATTTTATCATCCTGGCGGTGCTCACCTATTACCTGGGACAGGTAAAGAAGTTTGCCAAAAAAAAGTTTTTCAATTTTTTTTACAAAAATTTCAGACTTATGACAGCAGACAGACGATGATCACAACTCTGGTTTGCATTTGGGGCATTCGACTGTCTGCTTACTTGTTCTACAGAATTCTCAAGATTGGCCGAGACGCTCGGTTCGACGACAAAAGGAGCAACGTGATTCGATTTGCTATTTTCTGGACATTCCAAGTTTGTTATTTAATTTAATTAAAAAATTCTTCATTATTATTTTTGTGTATTTCAACTTCAGGCTATCTGGGTATTTACGGTCAGTCTCCCTGTTATCATCATCAACTCGCCAAGGAACAAAATTCCACTGGTGCCGAAAACTATGACCCATCTCGACTCTGCCGGACTTACAATGTTCATAATTGGTTTCATTTGTGAAACTTTTTCCGACCTTCAGAAGTTCCAGTTCAGACAAGACCCCAACAACAGAGGGAAATGGTGCAATGATGGTAGTTAATTTTCATTAGCAATTCCAATTAGAGATTAAAATTTATTTCAAATTTTTCAAAGGACTTTGGCAGCTTTCCAGACACCCAAATTATTTTGGAGAAGTCATGATTTGGTGGGGAATTTTCCTCATTTCTCTAAACGTTGTAAAGGGTTGGGAGTGGATTGTGATCTCGTCTCCGATCTTCACTACTGTGATCATTCTTTTCCTCTCCGGCATTCCACCTTTGGAACTTTCATCCGATGAGCGTTACAGAGAGTGAGTAAAATGGCATAAATAATTTTGACCTTATTAATTAATTTTTGTTTCAGCAACCCTGAGTACCGTTTGTACAAAAAGTCAACCTCTCCGCTGATTCCAATTCCGCCTGGAATTTATGTTGAGATTCCGTACTTTCTGAAGTTCCTCTTGTTCTTTGAGTACCCTCTTTATAACCATCTGAAGAAGAAAGCGTCGCCATCACCAACTCCAGTACCAACTTAAACGCCAAACAGCACTGCAAGGAGGCTTTGGAAAATACTCGACTGTTTGCAGATTGCAATTTTATGAATATTGTGATGGCTTGTTTGGTAGTTCTGTTAAACAGATTGAAAGCATTGTCAGTTTAAAAAGTTGTTAAGGAGCATTAATGGGAAATTGCAAAGGGTCGTTGCCGTTTAAGACTTCGTGAGATTTTTACATCTTATTAATCCATCAGCATGAAATTTTAAGTGTTTTCAATTAATATGTAGTGCACAAAACCAAAGCAATAGAACTTGCTTTGTTAGAAAAATATGATAAATTAAATAATTAAACACGGGTGCAGTTTTTTCGCACAGCAGAAGCAATATACATACGAAAAACATTCAAATAAATAAAATATAGGATAGTTCAATTAACAGGTATATTGCGGTGATCTCTGTCCGACGACTAATAATAAAGTTAAACATCTTCATTATTTTAAACCTTAATATATTTAAAATATCGCACCTTAATCTTCTTGGATGATTGTTATTTCATTCGTACAAATCTGAAAATAAAATCTGCGTCACCATGAAAAATCTTTATTTTCTTGTGAGCCTGCAATTAGTAATTTATGCAACCTGCCATAAATGATGGTCGAGCAGGTTGCCTAAATTCCAAAAGTTTCCTCCTCTCACAAGAGATCGCGCTGTCAGTTCATTTTAGTGCCGGGGATGGCGGCATACAGAGCCAGGTCTGGCAAAAAATCAAATAATTTCAATTTAAAACATTGTTTTTGAATAGTAATCAGCTCGCAGTTGTTACAATTTGAATTTTTGTCTAGGTTGAAGGAGGTCGACGATGTGCTCGACAAGGAGGAAATCAACCTGACAGCGTTGAAAAGAGTTTGCTTTCATGGTGAGTCGGGGTCAGCTGACCATCATAATAATAACGCCCCTGTAGCACTTGAGCTATTGACATAAATGGATTTTGGAAAATTTCAGGCATTCCTGACGAACAGGGACGACGCGCCCTTTGCTGGCGCCTCATGCTTAATTACCTTCCTGGAAATAAAAGCACCTGGAGCCAGATTTTGGCCAAAAAGCGTGAATTGTACAAACAATTTATTGGTAAAAACATCTCGAAAGCAAGGAAATATTTTACAAAATTTAATTTGGCAAACGAAATTTTCAGATGAAATGATAGGAATGCCTGGTCCTGAAAACCTGGACGACAACTCGGTTGTCGACGTCACCTTCGACGATCACCCCCTCAGCCTAAATCCAGACTCGGAGTGGCAGACCTACTTTAAGGACAACGAGGTTTTGCTGCAGATTGACAAGGATGTCAGGTAAAATTTTATATAAATTTGTGTGAATCATATTTAAATTAATTATTGATTTCAGGCGCCTCTGTCCTGATATTTCCTTCTTCCAACAACCAACTGATTTTCCCTGCCAGGACGTTGTGAACAGCGGAGGGACTAAAAGGCTGCACAAGAGGGTCCAACACTCCTTCTTAAATTCTGCTAATGTTGAGAGAAAGGGATTGGGAGTGACCAAGGTATATTTTGTTTAAAATAATAACAAATGCTTAGAATTATAAAATTTCCAATTATTTTTAACGCTGTCCATACAGTTACGGGTATGTGAATCATTTATGCCTTTAAAAATTAATAATTTTTATTTAATTAAAATTCATTATTATCAATTAGATTGCCTTGGCTAAAAAGAAAGCGTCAGAAGACTACGCTCCCATGGAAGAAGGGTCGGAAGCACACTGGGAGGTTGTGCAGCGAGTCTTATTTTTGTACGCCAAACTTAATCCAGGCCAGAGCTATGTCCAAGGAATGAATGAGATCATAGGACCAATTTACTACACCTTTGCCACAGATCCAAATTCAGAATGGAGAGGTAAAATTAAATAAAATTTTCCTAATAAAGTTGAAAAATGAATGAAATAGTACAAAGAATTTCCACAAGATCCTAGCTAAGGATTTTGCCCTTTTTTGTGTGTTAAATTTTAAATTACAATTGAAGTTTCCAAAATCTTAATTAATTTTAGAATTTGCTGAGGCCGACTGCTTCTTTTGCTTTACCAATCTAATGAGTGAGATCCGTGACTTTTTCATCAAGTCTTTGGACGACTCTGAAAGCGGAATCAAAAAGCTAATGGCCCGTCTCAGCACTGAGCTCAAAGTGCACGACCCTCCAGTTTTCCAACGCCTGCAGCAGCAAGAACTGCAGCCCCAGTACTACAGCTTCCGGTGGCTCACCCTCCTCCTCTCTCAAGAATTTCCTCTGCCTGATGTCCTCAGAATTTGGGACTCGCTCTTTGCTGATGAGAAGCGTTTTGGATTTCTCATTTTTATTTGTTGTGCTATGATTGTGTAAGTTTAAATTATTTTCAACAATTTAAAAAGAAAATTAAATCTTGTAAAAATTAGTGTTCTACGAGATCAGTTGCTGGCGAGCGACTTTCCCACAAACGTCAAAATGCTTCAGGTAATTTTCTTTGTAGTCAAATTTCCTCCCACAAATTTAAATTATTTCTTTATCTGAAGAATTTCCCTCCGATGGACATTCAAGTGGTGCTGTCGAAAGCTGCCGAGCTCTCCGGCCGTCGCTCCGAAGGTACAATAAGATGACCTCAGAACCATTACCAGGTTGTTCCATCCAAGGTGAATGCTCACTGTACACCAATATAAAAAAAATGTGCAAATTTTCGCTAGCTCTCTTAAATTGAATCTCGTTTTGGTGCAATTTTTGTCTACAAGTCGGCATCAACGGAAATGATGCTAATTTATTTGTATTCTCAAATTTATTCTGAAATTATTCAGTTTAAAAGAAAATTTGTCACAAATTTATAAAAGTCTTTTTACATAATAGCAGCTTATTTAATTTTAGCAGGAGTGAATTCATTAAATTTAATCAAAACGAGTTGGTCCCTTACATAGTGAGCCACTCATTCATTATCAAATATCTTGAACTTGATACATTTTCTACCTTATGTCAAAGCAATTTAGAACCATTAGATATAAAAATAAAGACCATGTCATTATTGTTGTTATAAATCCAATTTTATTTATTTTCCTTGGAAAATTTTAAACTTTTCGTAAAAGGCAGAAGTTGATGTGTACAACTTTAAATGCAATAAAATGAAACACACGCGTGAGGGAGAAAAGATTTGTGTGCGTGCAGTGAAAATTGAGTTGCGAAACAAGCGAGCGCAATCACTAACCTAATAATAAAGTGCAGCGTAGCATTTCATATTCTGCAAGCGAGAGAAGAGCAGGGGGAGTTGTTCATTGTGCACACATTGTGCGGCGCCGAGCAGCAGGGAAAGAGCGAGAGGTGACCCCTTGCAGCATGTCATGTGTGAAATGTGTAATGAGGGCTAACCCGCAAAATAATTCGCCCCTTTATCTTTGTCCGAGCAGTCGGCGGGATTTGTAAGTAAGAGAGAGATGACAGTGGAGAGGAAACACTACTTGCGTATATGTGGGTTTAATTTTTGACGTGTCAAAGGGTTTTTATTGCGTGTGGTGGTGGACAGATGGTGAGCCGCAAGTTCAACCACGCACGGGCCTCGGTGTTTGGTTAAAATCTCACCAAAAGTGGTGGAATTTTAAACAAGAGGGCAGTTCAAAGCCATTGCAAGAGTAAAAAAGACTTAATTAATCAAACTGAACCCATTAAAAATTTCAGAACGGATGTTGAGGGAGTAAAAATAATCATTTAATGAAGTTTCTTTATTAAATGATTTATTTTAATTTCAATCATACCTTATTTTCTTTGCTGCTACAGTTATGCAAAATTATATTCCAGGTTTTTAAAAAAACTGTCGTGGAAAAGAAATCTGTTAATAACCTCCAAAAATTTCATATGAAATTTCCAAAATTTGTAGTTTTGTTGAAAAATAATTTATTATTCTGCATTATTCCTTGGAATTGGAAATTAATGAGAAAAAATGACGCGCATATAAATGCTAATTTTCACTCTACGTGCAGAGTCTGGTCATTTATTAAAATTTGTCCCAGGAGAAAAATTCCAACGCGCAGATAAATTTGTCGTTCGCACTCGGCTCTAGGCGCTTACGCCGCACAACATATTTTACAAAATTAATCCTTGCAGGCGCTCCTCTCTTTATTAAAATTCTTTCGCCTCCGCGACTTTTTGCGCGCGTTTTAAAGGCGTGCACCCCGTTTCACTCGATAAATCAGCGACGTGTTTTATTGAAAAGGATTCCAGTTTTGCAAAAGCTGCACACGCGGAGACGCATTCTTAAATATTTTTTATATATAAACCTGGGAAGGAATATGATTATTTTTTTGCCGCGGCAGACAAGTGTAATATGTGCGTTGGCTTTTTTAATAAATAAAGGAGCGCAGTGGACCCGCGAGCTTTATGAAATAATTTATGGCCGGCGTGAGCTTTTTATACACCGAGAGAGTGCATGAATGGAAAAGAGCGCGGAGAGTCTATCTTTCTTTTTCTCCGAGGAACATAATTTATTTATTTGTGCTCCGCTCCCATAGTCAGCAAGCATGTAAGCGATTAATAATGACACCGGGCCTATAAACCTCGGCCAGGCACCCATTCAGGCCTTTCATCTGGCCCGCCTTGTGTGTGTCTTTTGAGAGGATCCTCTCATCTCGCGCTGCTTTGAATCCCTTTCCGTAGCGCCTACCTCTTTTGTTGCGCACCAGAGAAATATTGTGTAATAATATCTGCTTTGTAATGTGGTAGTGGAAATTATGGTTAATGGGTTGGCGTAAATCACCGCACACCGTGGTCGCAATTTGCGGCGCCGATTTTTGCCAAAGAAAAAGTTGGAGGCTTGAGCGAAAATGTAAAGATTGGAATTTGCAGTTATTTCTTCACATCAGAATATATCGTAAGATACAACATTCAGAAATATAAATTGACCCGAATTAATTTAATAAATAACTATTTAAAAATGTTGGTTAATTTAAAAATTTAATAGAAAACAATAAAATAATGTGAAATCAGTTAATTAGATTTAAAAAATTGTGAATTTAACAAATCTATTTAAGCGTTTAAATAAAAATTAACAGCTGTGCTAATTTTCCTGCGAAAAAAACTGCGGAGACCTCCAGGAGGTGCTGAATTTTTTTTATCTATTAGCAAATATGATTATTGGTGAGTAAAGGATAAGTTGAAGAATTGAATGGTACCCTGGAAGAGAAAATTAAAAAACTGAAAAGTTTTGAATAATGAATAAACAAAAATGAATTCCTCATTTATATTCAGGTTTTGTTTAAATTTTATTTTTTTTTTATATGTTTTTTTAAACTTTGGGGAATAATTTTGAATGATCTTCCGAGTTCATTTTATTCATTTCATTTTGTTAACTTTGTCGGGTTGGATCTCTTGTTGCCGCCTTTCTCATGAAAACACACGATAATTGCGCCATATTCAGACCATATGATCAGTATCAGCTCGAGTTTCATCAAGCATGGCTATTTTGTGTTTTGGTTGCAGATTTTGGCCGAAAATCGTCGCCAAAACGGCCGAAGCGACGACAGCCACGAGAGATTACTCCGCCGGTTAGTCAGTATTGACCATGATTCGACGCGCGGCCGACACAGGTTTGTTTAATTGATTAGCTTGCATTTTTCGTTTCCCATGCACTCGCGCTCCAATTGACGCACTTTTTGCTTGCATTAGTCAGTTAGAGCGTCTTTTTTCAGTGTTAACTATTAGAAGGGTTTTTAGTTTATATTTTGGAAGTTTATTTTTCTATTTTTGAAAGAATTTTAAATAATTTTTATTGCATTGTTTTTCACTCTCTATTGTCTCTTTAAAAATTAGATTTCCTCTTTTCTCAATTTTTATTTGATTTAGAATGTACCTTTAATAGTATTAAAACATCGTTTTGTTATTAATTTCATTATAAAAAAGGACGTTTTTGAATACTTGAGAGATTCAAACGTTGTTTTAAGCACCTAATTCATGGAGTCCCGCGGTTGGATACATTTGATATGAGCCTCGCGTCTGCCGATAAATAATTCTCGAATGCGAGGCTCCGCCTCACTCGACGCTCGCAGAACCAATTGGAGGCTCCATTGCGCACTTGCTCTTAATAAACTCCCTCAACTTTATAATGCATAATACACTCCTCGCTCACAAGAAACAGAGAGAGAGACTGCCCTAGCGATATTCGCGAAATGATCAGTTTTATTACCTGTCCGGGAATAAATTTTCGTGCAGGTGTGTCGAGCGTGCAAATTTCCACAAAGTATACGACAGGTAGGATAGGGAAAAATAATTAATTCGTTTCAGCCAGGCAGGACGCAAAATTTTCGTGTATATATTTTATGTCACGATAAAAGAACATTGCAGGAGTCTCTGTTTGTTTGTTTCTTCTTCGTAATTAAATGCGTGGAAATGACAGGTGTTGCAAATTAGTCCAGAATGAATAACTGCTGCGAGCAGCTGATTTAAAATAATTTATATATAAACACATCTCATCGTCTTGGAAGTGACAATAGTGGAAATCAGCAGAATTCCATTAGCCCTAATAACCACCCCATTGACCAGCGGCATAAAGAAGCAACCCTCTTCGCAGGGGCTTCTTCAATGATTTTTAATTACCCCCGTTTCAGGTTGCGCAACTCTCTCGTTCTCAGGGGAAATCAAAAGCCAATTGATGGTTTTTGTACCACCCACATTTCCAAAGGCAAAGGTGCTTCTCAGGGCCTGAATGACACAAAGCGCGATAAAAAAAAATAAATAAAAAATAAGCAGAGTTTGATAAATTGTTTTGTGTCGTGATGAGGCGCTCCGCCGCCGCCGATATTGTTGCACTATCCATCTTTATATACAATCTCTTTGTCAGAAGAAGAGTGCAGAGTCACTTTTGGTTTGCTTTGGGATTACGCAGCATGACGATCTTTGTCCTATCCGTCTCGGTAAATATTCAATGTACTCAAGAATTTTTCAAATCTTGTCTTACACTCTGCGTCCGGATGGAATATTTTTTCCTCTCTTGCAAAAGTTTCCTGTCTCGAAAAACAAATAAGGGAGATTTGAAAATTGAATCACGCGAGAGAGACGAAAGGGGGACGACGCAAGACACAAGGAAAGGGACTAGGGTGGCGCCAGAGAAAAGGAACTTTTGCTTGGTTGCGCGCCGCTTCTGCTGCTCCGGCAACTCTCTTTTATGTATAAAAAAAGCGGAAACTGAATTAGTAAGGACCGAGCAAACATCATCTCTCGATGGCAAAAGTTATACGTGACTGCGTTCTGTAAAGGAGAAAGACGCTGGGCGGCTCGCTCGCTTTTGAGCCGCAAAACTTTGTCTCGAGACCCAACTGCGGGGAAAATGTAACGCTTGAGACAATTTGAAATACATAAAGAAAGAAAAGGAAAAGGAGACGACAATATTTAAATTTGCAGAAATTGGACAATTTTTTTTACATCATAGGTATCATAAAAATATAATTTAATTTTTAAAGAACTCATTTATTGCAAGAAATCTTAAATTAATAAATTGCAAACGTAGACGAAATTTGTTTAGAAAGTTTATGAATTCAAAATTCACGCTTGAAATTTACTAATAAATTTAACAGTTTTGTCTTTTACATATTTTTGCATAAAATCACATAAAATTTAACCAAATTTATAAAACCAACAAAACATGCAAAGAGTCTAAACCAAAACTTAAAGAGATATTTTTCACAAAAGATTCACTGAAATTCTATGGTTTTATGATTAAATTTAAAAATAATTCGAAAAAAACATAATTATAAAAAATTTATTTTGTCAGGTTAAAGACCGGCCCAAAATTAGTGACCGCTACTAGGTAGAACTAGAAAGAGGCTTAATAATTTTTGAAATATCAAGCAATTGGTGGGCCTGGCAACGCAAAATGGGCATAATTTCATTTAGAGACTGGGTTGAGTTGACGAGAAATATAGTCTCGGATTTCGCAGCGCCATACATTACCAATTCAATGCACACGCAATTAGCGGGGGTGTCGCGCAGAATTGCATGCGGTGCGGTCTAGGCATTTTGCTGGACACGTCTGTCGAGCAGGTTGCCTATTCAGCGGCGAGCATTGTTCGTTTGCGCGTTGCATGAGAGAATTTCCCGTCCTGCAGCAAGGGAAACACACACACATGTATCCTGTGACGCAAATCGAGTTATCCGCCAATAACACGGGCACAAACAGCCCGGAGCAGAGAGAGAGGCAGCGGCCATGCACACAAACGCATCGATTCGACGGCTCCTTTTTCCTCCGCCGCTTTTGTTTAATCCCCTGTGTGTGTATCTGCGAGTGGAGGATACTTTTGTTCCCCCGGCGCTGTTTGAATACGAATAAAGCTGGCGAGCGAGGCACCGGCGCTATAACCTGATTACCGTCCATACTCGACTAATGAGCCCTGCTTCAAAGAATAAAATCACTGAACGTACATTCGTGCATAATGAATAAAAACGAACGTGGCGAGCGCGCTAACTAACTGACTGCTCTGGAAATTAAATTGGAAAAATATACACGGCGCTGGAAATTCGAAAGAGAGAGCGAGGTGCTCTCGCGGAACGGAAAATAATTCCCGACGGAAAAGAAGGGAGGCGAAAGAGAGCAGTTGTGCCGCCCTAATGAATATTATTTAAAAAGATGCAGATCTAATTCGCGTTGCTTCTTCTTCTTCTTCCAGAGCAAGAAAGAAAAGGCGTCTTTTTTTTCCTTTTTCTCTCTTGACGTCTTTTTATTCCTCCTTTGGATTATGCTGATTCTTCACAAATAAAATTCTCCTTCCTGCTTCTCTGCTTCGCTTTTTTTCTTTCCTTTTTCCTCTCCAGCTGTATATTTTCATCTGGCCCCGCCGCTATATATATAAAAAGGAGAAATTTTTATTTTCTCTCTCTCTCTCTCGTCGAGCTCAACTTTTCATCTCCTGTGAGACGTTGTACGAGATCTGTATGTACCGAGCAGCAGCAGCAGGCTTGGAAATTCCTCGCGATCGCAAATCGAGTTTGCTTGCGAGCAATTGAAGCGTGCTTTGCCAGCCGACCGAGTTAATTCGATTTGGAAAGAGAGAACGAGCACCGCTGCAAAACTCCTCCGCGAACGGTGACGCCGGCAAACGCGAACGGCGCCGGATTAATCGGAAAGCACACTCCTTATCATTATGCAATTACTTCGATCGGAAAATGCACTCGAGTGTGTGCATTCAAAATTGCAGAAAATCGTCCCTCTTTTTTACTTTGAATGGCTGTTTCTATATTATTGAGGTTAACACTGGAAAATTCCAACTAATATTTCTAATCAATAATGAAAAGGACAAAATAAATTTTGTTCTTTTCTTAAAATTACTACTAGTTTTCCAATAGACGGGGGAAATAATATCATAGCATTAAAAGTATATTATTCAGTTTCATTCATTCAAAACTCCCAAAAATTGAGAAGATAAAAAAATGTTAGTAGTTAAAAAAAATTCAAATTAACAGGAACCGCTTAATTTAATATTTTACTATCACATAAATTTTCTAAGACAAATTTTATAATAATTATCAAAAAATGTTGTTGCATAATTTTGAAGATACAATTCTTAATTGTGAGCTTCTCTTTTCTTCAAAACGGTGGAGCCAGTGAAAATAATGATACTTTAATAATGTTTTGTTAAACCATGAATTTTATGTTCATATTCTAATTTAATTAACGCTATAAATCATGGAAATAAATAAAATTATTTCCTCTATTAATAAAAAATGCCAAGCAATCCCAAAGTGAATTAAATCAAAATTAATTATTTTCACAAAAATCAAGTAAATTACCAAATCAAAAAATAATTTGGTATTAAAATGTGATGGAAAAGTAGAAAAATTTTAAGTCATAAAAGCTTCTTTATCTGCATTTTTTTTTTAAATATAATTTCTTAATGATAAAAACGTGGTTTAGAGTGATAGCCTAGAAACCAAAGATCATGAATCACCGCAGCCGGTCGATACGGAGCAAATATAACATGGTGTTTTCCCAACCATCCCAGCGGAAAATTAAATTGGCTGGTGCAGTGCACGTTTAATCCCGTTAGCAACCCTATAGCCAGTGGGCCCGACTACTATGAGAATTTGCTGCGAGATCAACCGTCTGTCCACACACAACTGTATGTAATGAAAATAGGCTCTGCGACAGTTTCCTTCGGTCGACCGAAATGTAAATATCCCGAGCAGATCAAAGGCAGATTCGCGGAGGAATCGCTCGTAATAATAATTTCAGATGCAAATCCGACTTTTTTCGCTGCCGTTTGAAGAGCAAATTAGCGCGCGCAGCCGAACACAAATCCCATTGTGCGGATTAGAGCGCGGCAATAAAATAAAAGGGGAAGAGAGAAAGAGTCGAACCGTGCGCGTGCACCTTCTGTCGAGGGTGCATTTCATCATTGCGAGTCGCGGAATAACAAATTCAAGCAAGGACGAGAGCAGTAGTTGCGGAAAAAATACGCGAAAAAGGATTTTGTTATCTTTTTTCATTGATGAGCAAGCATTTATTTTTGTTTATTTTTTTTTTTTAATTTTGATATCAGATTAAAGATAAGAGATCTAAAATTTCATATGGCATTATTTTCAAAAAGTGTGAGAAAACAGCTAAAATGTGTTGAAGTGCAAAATTTCTAGGAGAAATTACTTTTGAACTAAAAAATTTACGAGAAACACAATTCACTTCTGATTCATGAACAGTGTTGTTGTTCATAAAAATAATTACAGTTGTTTGAAGATTCAAACTGTTTCCCAATAATTGTCAAAAATATTGGCAAAGACTTGATATGACTAAGCCAATGAAGAATTTTCAACACTTAAGAGAGAGAAGAAAGATGCCTCAATAAAACAAAATTAATGAGAGGGAAATATTAATTAATTCCGAAAATATGAAAGTTGAAGCTAAAATGTATCTTTTTTCATCTTACTCTTTACCTTTTCATTGCGCTGATCAATTTGCATGAATTGATCACCATTTTTACGCATTTCGTGAAACGAGCCTATTCCTTTTAATGGTTATGTGTTTTTCAATTAATAAAAAGATATACGTCTGGTGGAACGAACAACTCTTTCTGCAGCGCAAGGTAAACAAATAACAATATAACGTGTCCGAAAGCTGACGCTCCGAGAGGATAAGATGCAGCTCGCCATATGGAGATTCCTTAATGAGCCAGCTAGCGACGCGCATCATATTAAAATGTATAATATTTTATTACGGGACTGACTTACGATTACGGCCGACGGAATAAAAGAATAAAGGAAAGGAC